ACCTGTCAAAGTCAGATAATAAATCCTTCCTCTTGCAGGCATTGAGAGGATTAAACTGGATTAGGTGTGTGAAAGTTCTTTGTAACTGGTAATGCCCTCTGCAAATATTAGTTATTATGCTGATACATTTTCCCTTAATAACCCAGAGCTTGGAATATAAAAGCCCTCCATGTCCTTTATTAAGACATCTCCTAGGAGCTAAGCTATTTTATGTCTTTTTGTTCTATGTTGTAGTGGGTTTTGCACTGAAATGTCTTTAAAGCAGTTTCAAATGACTTAAAAAAACAATCTGGGGTTCTTGTTGGTGTTTTAAAAACCTCTGGAAATGATGATGGTAATTACGCAGTTAAATACGGAGTGCTTACTGGGTGAGGGGTGCTCTCCTAAGTACAATAATTCACGTAATGTTCACAAAACCCCAGGAGGCTGATAGTGCCACCATCCCTATTTTACAGATGAGGAAGCAGAGACACAGACAGGCACATAACTTGCATAAGGACACCAAGTAGCAAGTCAAGAACCAGGCTTCAAATGCCAGCAGCCTGGCTTCTAAGCACTCTGCTGTTCAATCTCTCTCTAAGATGTCTTTCCCAAGTTATTGAATATTTCAGTATTGCAATCTGGTCTAACATGTAAGAAAGACAACTCTAGAGGAAAATATAACATAGAAACAACTTATTCAATAAACATGGAATCTCAAAGATCTAACATGTACTATTCCAATGTGTTGTTGTTATGTTTTAGGTGGGCATTTCAGGTTTAAAACTAATTTTAAAATGAAAAAACTGAAGTTAAGGCAGAATGTTGGAGTTTTGTTTTTTTCTTTTAAGTTACTCTTTCCTATCTCTGCCACATACTGGGCTGGCCTTTTAAAATCTCTTGAGACTTAGTTTTCTCACCAACAGGTAAGTGTGCTTCTCAGGTGTACCCTGCCAATTGTTTCAGAGTTCTGCTCTCTTCCTCCCTAAAGGTGCCCTGGAAATTCCTGGCTTTTCCCAGGGGGTGTCACCAACTCCATTTTGAAACAAGAACTATCCACCATTTCCTGACATCAGCTGTTTTTCTTACTCTTTCATTTCACTTTTGTTTTGCAGTGCTTCCCACAAAACCAGTTAAAGCTGCCTCACCTTCACTGCTGTGTGGGTTGCCTCTGTCTTTGGGGTTGCTATGCCCCTAGTCCCATGATGCCACTATTATGCACCGCTAGTTCACTAAAGTTTCTCATCAGCATAGAAAGCTTCTACTCTTAGCCCTACTCTTCCCTTTCCACCACTTCATTAATTCATGCAACAATTATTTATTGATGATCTACTTGTGCCAGGCACTGTACTTGGTACATGGGATAAATTTGTGCAGTAGACAGACACTGACCCGGTCTTCAAGGATACCATATCTAAGAAGAAATAAGAGACAATCAATGAGCAAATTATCATACAAAGTCTGGAAATATTGGTGAATAGACATGATGTCATTAAGGACATCTTCAGTCTGTAAAACAAAATATTATCTACCTTTCCAGACTTCATGAACACTGCACACTGCGATGAGTGTTATGATGGGGGACATACTGGGTGAAATGGGAACAGAGAGAATAGACACCTGTCTTGACCTGATGGGATCAGAGAGGGCTGTCTGAAAGAAGAGACAGCTGAGGTTTGAAGCATGAGTGAGGAATTGGCTTCAACGGGAGGGTGAGTGTGGGGCTGCTATGTGCAAGATCCTATGGTTAGGGTGTTTTCCATCAAGGTGTAGATCATGAAGACCCCAAGGGATACCAGGCTGATGCTCCCAAGAGCTTTCTGCACCAGGCCCACTCTCGCCTGAGGATTTCTTTTGTAAATTTCTGGCAGTAAACCAGGGTTCTCTTCTTTAAGGCAGAGATGGTTTTGTCCTCTGTCTAGATTCTTTGCCAGCAGGTGCTCTTTCTCCTGGTCTCTGTGTCCCACCTTGACTTCCATAGTTGGCCCATTCGTTGTAAGGATTGAGTTTTCATTTGAAGCTTTCTCTACCTGTCACCCATGATTGTACTAATATCTGCCCCTATAAAATTCAGATAAAGATTAAGTAAGGTAATGTAGGTTAAAGGACTTCATAAACTGGGAGGCACTCTATAATTGGCAGCTATTATTATTATTACTATTGTTAAACTAATTATAGTAATTACTATTCCCACAGAAGTTGTATTATTAGTCCAAGGTCACACAGGAAGACTCCCATCCAGACATTAACTACACAGAGCTAACGGCATTTCAAAGAATCACGTTCTGAGATGCAAAACTCTTCCCTATCCAGGTACCTTGTGCTGTGTTCATGCTTCCAGGACCACTGCCAAACTATACTGCCTGGACTCTGCCCCTCAGATCTGCAGGTTCTTCGTGGGCACGCCAGTGCAAGCTACAGTTGCCAAGGTTTTCCAAAAGCACGGTTTGCATTTATTTTGTTTAATTCTTACATTGTGTTTCAGCCTCCTCCTAAATGCATTTGTTTGCAGAAAGAGCCACGAGGGAAAGTTCAGCCCACAAATAAGAATATAATTATTACACAGTTTAGCAGCGCCTGGGCATCACCTGGGTATTCACCGGTGCTCTAAAATTCAATTGTCTCTCCTTCAAGACCATATTTAATAGGATAAACAATTTCTGCTAAATGCAATAAACGTGAACCTGGGCTGTCATCTCCATAATCAACTCAAATTTCCCATTAGAAGCAGTGGCTGTGATTGAGATTCAGAATTTAATTTGGCAGTGCAGGCTTCAATGTGCTAGGGTCGGCTTCATGGGAGCCTCCCATCAACCAAAGACAGAAGCACTCTTCCCCGTCTCTGGGGAATCTTAAAAGAAGATAGATTATAACTCAAGAAAATTATACAGCCTCAGTATAATGAAAGAGATAAAACATTATTGGATTAGCCTGTTGAAATAACAGCAGACGGCAAAGCAATAATATTAAGCCAAACAAGGGCCCCAACCCGTCAGCTCAATGCAGAGGCCACGGAGACACAGGAAGGCAGGCAGATGACCACATGTGCTGCAAGAACTCATGGCACTACAAAACCAGCGCCTTCTGACAGTTGTTTCATTGCCTCAATTTCAAAGAGCTGGTTGGGCCAGATTGGTTGGGTGCTAGTAAACAAAGTTTTGGTGTCGTGTGTTAAGATCTTAGGCCCCAGCAGCAAACTCCAAACAGATGACTTTGCCGAAAACAAATTAGTTGAAAATGGGATGAACTAATTCACCTCTACCAATTGCTCCTTGCTCCCTCCTTCACCAGTTTTATTATTTAGTGACCACGGATTCACTTGAAGTATTTCAATCAGACAGGAAGAGCCCAAGAGCAAAGAAAATCTTAAGGCATGTTTTAATATGATGGAATGAATGAGAAAAATAAAGTTTAAATGCTCACCTGACAATCTAGAAAATAAAAATATTTGGCTTCTGGAACCTAGGGAATAATTGTCTTCTTATTCTCCTCTTTTTTTTTTTTTTTTTTTTTTTAGTAGGAGTCTCATTCTGTCACCCAGGCTAGAGGGCAGTGGCATGCTCCCAGCCACTATAGCCTCAACCTACTGGGCTCAGGTGATCCTTTCACCTCAGCCTTCCAAGTAGCAGGAACTACAGGTACACGCCATCACGCCTGGCTAATTTTTTGATTTGGTGTAGAGATGGGGGTCTCCCTAAGTTGCCCAGGCTGGTCTCGAACCCATGGGCTCAGGCAATCCTCTCACCTCGGCCTCCCAAAATGCTGGGATTATAGGCATGAGCCACTGTACCCGGCCTCTTACTCTCCTCTTCAAGTTTCCTGCACCCAATGGTATTTGCACAAAAGAGTGAGTGAGCAAAGTAGAGTGCACAGACAGTTTTGTGAGAGAAGCAGAGAATATTTACATTGCATATACTCCACAGCAATCAGCTTAAAAGTCTCCTTGACATGTTTTCTCCTCCAGTCACCACGATTTTTTTCTTTTTTTTTTGAGTTGGAGTCTTACTCTGTCACCCAGGCTGGAGGGCAATGGCACGCTCATGGCCACCGCAGCCTCGACCTGCTGGGCTCAGGTGATCCTCCCGCCTCAGCCTTTCAAGTAGCTGGATCTACAGGCACGCGCCACCATGCCCAGCTAAGTTTTTGATTTATTGTAGAGATGAGGTCTCGCCAAGTTGCCTAGGTTGGTCTGAAACCCGTGGGCTCAGGCAATCCTCTCATCTCAGCCTCGATCTTTTTCTTTTCAAACTTTCATTCAGGGATCAGTTTCCCTTTCTCTTGTCTCCAGCTTAGAAACTTCCTGGGGCACCCACCCAAGCCACTCCTTTATTAAGCACCTAATTCTGCTCTGCTCTAGAACTCATGCTCTGACAAGTATAACCATATCCTTTCTATGCTTAGTGTGACCAGGCTCCACTTTCCTCAAAAGGGGTGGGTGATTTGTCAAACACACACACACACACACACACACACACACACACACACACACACACACACACACTTTCTGTGGTGACTTACTCCATGAAAAGTTCTTTGCTAATCAGATACTCATTTACTGAGAGGTTAGAGAGCATCATCGTTATGAATATAAAACTCTAGAGCTTGAGTTTATAGCCCAGGTCTGCTACTTTCTCACTGTGTAATCTTAGACAAGTTGCTTAACTGTCCTAAGCCTCAGTTTCCCCAGTTGCATAGCATCTACCAGAAGGTTGTCATGAAGATGGAACAGATTAATACACTGAATCAGTAGCCAGTTCATAGAGATCATCCAATAAACGTTAACTGCCATTATTGTTGAACAAACCTTGTCCTTGTCAAGGAAAAAACAACTTCTTATCCATTCATTGATTCATTATTAGGCACCTACTACATGCCAGTCACTGCTAGATAGTGAAACTACAGTGTGAACAACTTGCAACAGAGTTCCTGGTGGGTAGCAAATGGGAGGGAGATAAAATAGTAGAGTGAGCAAAGAGAGGATTACAAAGATGCTTAAGCCCTTAAGGAACCTATAATTCTTGTTGAACTCACTATTTATCCAAATCAACATGCATTTTACAAACGGAATACATTTATTTTAAATAGCCTGAAAGGCATTGGCCCTCGTTCATGGGCAAGCCCCAGGTGGATGCTGGTGTGGGAGTGAGCTAGCATGAATTCTTGGGGGTTCAGAGCTCTCACTGTGTGCAGCCCACAGCTGTGTCATCTACTAGACGTGCTCTCTTCCCTAGCAGTTCAGTGTTTCTGAAGCAGGGCCCAAGCAGGGTCTGCCCCCATTTTGAGGCGGTGGATTGTTACACTGCCTTTGTCTTGTTTTATGTCCTCCAGAGCATGAAGACCAGTTGGACCAGCAATTCCACTTCCCATCAATGGGGACATCTATAAGAAAGAAGGTCAACACACATTAATTAGCCTTTGTTACATTCTGTTGCCTTACTGGGGTGGTGGGGAGTATATAAGCCAAAAGACTTTGGGACTCTGAATCTCTAATCTTCCTCCTCTAATCAATCTTCCTTCTTTATGACCATTGTACTTATGCTCCTGCCTATTTAAAGAGGCCAGGGAGATAGATACACATGCCAAACAAAAAATACTACGTGCAAAGATCTGTAATAAATATATGTTCAGAGTCTTCAGGGAGCCCACAGGAAGAATGAACTAATTCTACTTAGAGGATTAGAGAAATTTTTACAGTGGAGGGGATAACTGTGCTGGAATTTGAGGGCTGAATTTGAGGGCTATATAGAAAAAGAGAGCCGGGTGCGGTGGTTCACACTTATAATCCCAGCACTTCGGGAGGTGAGAGGATTGCCTGAGCCCATGAGTTTGAGACCAGCCTGGGCAACTTGGCGAGACCTCATCTCTACAATAAAACAAAATAAAAAAATTAGCCAGGCATGGTGGTGCGTGCCTTTAGTTCCAGCTACTTGGAAGACTGAAATGGAAGGATTGTCTGAGCCCAGTATGTTGAAGTTGTGGTAGCCGTGAGGGTGCCGCTGCACTCCAGCCTGGGTAACAGAGTGAGACTCCGGCTCAAAAAAAAAAAAAGAAAGAAAAAGAGGGTAAGCATTCCAAAATGATCCAAAGAGATGGTTTACAAATGACATGCATTGATATTTCTGTAATACAAAGCACGCTCGATTTTGAAAACAATGAAATATACAATCTGGAGTCAGGATGGATCTCAAACTTCCTAGTGTCCAGCCCCCTACTTCATACCCCGGCCTTGCTCTTATCCTTGTGAATTATTCTCTGGACTCCCCCAGATTTCTCTTTCCCAACAAACTCTCAAAGACTCCTTACTTTTCCTAGAGGAGATCTCGCAGGCTGGGCCTTGGGATCCAGCAGGACAGATGCAGTCACAGCGTGATTCTGAGAAGACAAGGAAGAAAGATTGAATCATCCCGTGTGGAGCAAAGAACTCTTGGAGCTCAGTCCTCCACATCGCTGCATTCCCATCAGGTTAAAACAGCATTTACTTAGTTGAATGGTTTTCAATAAGCAGGTTCCATGCGAAGAATACCTACTCTTTTCTTGAGGATCCTTTGCCTTGAAGGAATGTTTATTTCACAGAGTCATTGAGGACAATTACTCATTAGCTGATATTTGACTTATAAGTTTTCAAGTCCAGAAGCTATATTAGCAGTCACTGAGACAGCCATCACTGATGTTCATCACAAGTAATTGTCTAGCCTATGCTTGAATATCTCTAGGATGGAGAACTTATTACTCTTAGATACCTGGGGGAACACATTACCCTTAGATACTTTATCCTATCCATGGCCAGTTCTGACACTTTGGAAGTGATTTTCCATGTTTATTTGTAATCTGTCATAGAACTTCTCATCTGGATCCCAAAGAATCTCTTTGTAGGACTGTCCTTTATAGCCCAGGCCCTGTGCGTATTCCAGTCATTGGCTTCATATTCTCCCTCATCTCCACTTTACAGCCTCAGGTGGGTTCCAGCTTCCAGGTCCAAATGTCACACACAGCAAGGGAGATTTCAGCAACCCTAGATCAAAACCTTGATGAACTGATGAGCTGATCCCACTTGCTGTGGAGCTGACTCTTACATAGGGGTCCTTGCACTTATGGTAGAACTTCTAGGCCTTATGCTCTCAACATCTGTTTTGCTCATATCCACCCTATCCAAGAAGCCAGAGACGTATTCCTGAATCCCAGACTGAAGGCTGGAATTTTTCTTTCTGATAATACATCTTCTCTTGTATCCCCTGTGTTGAGCGTTTTTTATCCATATGGGTTCTGTCCTGACTCCAGCTGGCTCCTTCTGGGCTGCGACTTGCTATAGCCAGTTGCACCCGATGCTTTTTTTTGGGTGATAGACTGGACTCTTCTTCAAAGCCTTGCAAGGCTATTACAATAAGAGCATAAGATTCCAGGTCCCCACCCGTCCCAGTTTGCCCTGCCCACCACAGTGACCCCAGACATGACTCTGAACATTCTAGTGGTCAATTTTTGCTGCTGCTGCTAATTCTTCTTGCTATGTAATTAATCAGAACATGCACAAAGGCTTTCTCTTATTCAGCTCAGGCTCTCATCTTTGGCCCTTAAAGATTTCCTGAGTTTATCCCACTGTCTGTTTTAGACCACATGGTCTCAGTCTGCTCCTGTCTTCAGTTGAATGCTACTGTCAACACTGTGCCTACTGGAGCTAGAACCCAGGTATCCCAAGTATCTTCTAGTTGATAGCATTTTAACTTCTTAGGAAACAGGTGCAGGCAAATGGCTGGTCCTAGAGCCAGCTTCCTCCAGATTGTGACTTTTACAAGGGATATCAGTTGCCTGAAAATGTACCTTTCAGGACAGGGACTCCATTCCTTTGGCAGGGAGCACAGTGGCAGGAGCTGACTTCCTTCTGGAACTCCTCCAGGGCCTGCTTCATGTTCTGCCTCACTGTGCTGGAATAGGCAAAATCTGTGGCTGTTATGAGTTCATACAGAGGCTCCACCTGGAAAAGGGAACAAGCACTTAATTTGAGAGAAAACATTTATCAAATAGAAGCATAAAGCAAAACTACACAAGAGTGGACAGGGGTCAATGCAGGGACCACATGTGGATTCATATAGAACTGGATGAATGCTTCATCCTCTCTTTGCTTCAGATAACACACAAATTAGCTCATTCAAGTTTAGGTCAACAAACACTTGCTGAATACCTACTAAGTACTAGGTACAAAAGCGTATTAAGCATTAAAAAATGAGGAAGATAAAATTCCTCCTCTCAAGGAACTCAGAATAGAGAGAGAGAGAGAAAGAAACACACCAACAGATGGTTACAACATGGTGGTTACAGGTGGCAGCAGAAGCAGAGAAAAGCAGGTGAGAGGTAGAGAGGATGGATGGTTTATCTATCTCTGGTGGGGCAAAGAACGTGATGTTTAGCAGTTCTTTGGAAGGATTATAGGAGCACTGTCCCAATATCATTCCTCTTTCCATCAGGAAGCTCCAAAGACCACAGACCATCTTCCTTTCCTTAAACACTCAAGACTCATCTGATAAAAATTCCATGTTTTTAGCTGCTCTTGTACAGTTATTAATTTTTTTTTTATGTGCAAAGGCCTTCTTTTCCTTTCCTGGTTAGTTTGTAAGCTCCTGGAGCTCAGGGCTATAGCTCAGCTCTGTGTCTCTAGGGTCCAGCCCCCAGCTGAATGGGTAGAGTGGCTAGATGGATGCAGGGAAATTGGAGGGCCTCCTTAGGGTTGGCAGCAGGCATGGAGGAGAGGGTGTGGCTATTAAAAACACAGAAGGAGCAGCAGCAGCAGATACTGCTTGCTCGGTGGATGTGGCAGTGTTTGAGAAGGAGAAGTCACAGATGGACGTGGTGTTGTTTGTAAACTAGAAAAACCAGAAGCATGGTCCAAAGAGGTAGTGAAAAATGTTTAGTTCCTCTTGGTTCAAGTTTCAACTCCAGGGTCAGGTTCCTCTCCAGATTTTGTTTGTGATCCTGCCCTAATCCAGTCCTGGAGAGTTTAGGGTCTGACTAAATGCAGGCAATTATGACTAATAGAAGCCTCCAGTGGGAAGAAAATTGCTTCCATTTCTTAATGCATCTGATGCTGACCTTCGCTCCAGTGGGCAAAGCAAGACCCCTTGGTGGTCCCATTGTCTCACCGTTTTGTGGTCAATGAATTGATCCAGAGGCTGTTGCAGAACTATCCAGCCTGCTGACCACACATGAGGAGGGAGGTTGGGAGGGAGAAAAGGGGGAGCTTGCTTTACACCAACAGAGAGCTCTTCCAACAATCTGCTTTTGCTCCAGCAGTACCTTGAAAGGCTGCCTTTAGCCACCAAGGTATTTTTTTCTACCAGTACTGAGATTTGCTCCAGACAGAGCAAGTCAGTAGCCTAACTGAAATATACCCTCCACACACATTGTGTTCCAGATTATGTGGAGGTCTACAAATAGGATCCCACATCATCCTCACAAGGTAGCAACTATTAGCTCCACTTTTAGATGAGGTTAAGTAACTTGATCAAGGACACACAACTCATAAAATGTCATTACCAGGATTCTAAACCAAAGCTTGTTTTTTTCCTACTAGTCATGATGATCACTCCCATTTATCCTCTCCATTCCAGGATTCTCCAAATTTTACAGGCAACACTTTCCCTTGGAATTCAGCAGTAGTTTCTCAGGACTCCACAGCTACCTTTTTAACTTAGCAGAGCACATTTGTCTGTTCTTTGGTTTGCTGCTCCTTTTTTTTAGTGTTTTTTGTTTTCTCCCTGTCTTCCTCCTTCTTCCCCTTTTTCCTCTTTGTCTTTCTTTGCCATCTCTTCCCCCAGCACATGGTACTAACAGCTCACATTAATCATTGGGTCCACCGAACACCTGCCCTTGTAAACATTTTCTTTATCACACTGTCGCAAAGACATGGCGAGCACCATCTATTAAACTCCATGCTGGTCTCTATAGTGGACATTTGTATTCATGTGAAAACAAATAATTATTACCATTTATTAGGGGCCAAACTAAGTACTTCACAAATATTACATAGCTTAATCTCTACAACAGTCTTAGGTATTTGTCTTCTGTTTACTCATTGAACAAATGAAAAAGCTGAAGCACAGAAAAGTTAAGTCAATTGATGAAAGTTATACAGTAAGTGGTAGGAAAGGATTTGAACTGTTAGCTGTTGTGGTCTCTTTTCTTTCAGCATATATTTTTGGGTAGGTAGGTAGCCCTATTCAAAGGATGGATAGGTGGCTATCTACACCAAATTGGTGGCATAAGTGCAGTTTTATATCTCACTTTTTTTATTTAACATAAGAAGAAGAATATTTTCCCGTGTGATTCAATAGCCTTTGATAAAATGATTTTCCATGACTTCAGAGTATCCACCTGTACAGATGAACCACAACATATTCAACTCTTCTCTTATTGTGGAGACTTTAAGATGTTTCCGTTTTCCTTTATTCCTTTGCTACTACAAAGAGCAAAACACTCTTTACACATACATCTTTACCACCTTTTCAATTTCTTTAGTATATTCTTGCATTTGGGTTATTGGATCAAAAGCTATAAACATGCTTAATGCTTTGGATATATCTGCTTAAGTTCTTTTTCTAAAGAGTTATATCAAATCATACACCCATCCTATTTTACAAAAGTGCAGATCTAATCACTTTCAATGCCATTGAGTATTACAGATTTTTAACCGTTATCAATTTGATATGTAGAAAATAGTGTTACAGTGTTACTTTAATTTTAATTTTTATTACTAGAGAAGTTAAAATTTTGTGTATTTGTTGGCCAACTGAGAAGTGTCCATCTCCTTTGAGATGCTTCTTTCTTAGAAATTGTATCACTCCTCACATAGTAAGGCTTTCATTTGTGGCAAATTTATTTATTTATTTTGGTGTGCTATCTGCCATTTAGTTGTATTCATGGTTTCCTTGTTTGAAATTCAGAATTTATTTTGGGGGTTCAAATCCAATGTAGTCTTACCAGGAGCATGCTACCACATTTGTTCTTGAAACTTTCTCTTGGCTGGAGTAATTTGCTTTGAGAAAATATTCAAGTAATCTGCTTTTAGAAGAATGTGATGGTTATTTTTACTGCTTATCATATATTTCAGCTTTTTTTCTTTTTGGAACAAGAGAGGGCTGCATTTCCTGTCTTCTGTGAAGTCACATTTGCAAAGTGACTTGTTTTGACCAGTGAAAGGTGAGAAGAACAGGGTGTCATTTCCCAGTTGAAACTTCGAGAGCACAGTGAGGTGATTTGGCCCACTCTTTTATCACTGCTGTGAAGATCTTGGGAGTCCATGACAAAATAAGGTCCCCATTTCTGGATCGCTGAGTGACTACATTGAGCAAAGCCTTCTCGCCAACACATTTCGAACATGTTGTATGATTGATAGAATTTTGTACTAAGCCACTAAAATTTGGGGGTTGTTTTTTGCAGTATGGCTTAGGTCATCCTGGTCTTTGTGTCAGCAACATTCTCTACCTTATTTTCTTCCTTTCATCCTGGGCAATGCCAATAATTCAAACAATGACTTCTCCATCAGCATGGATCCCAGCCCACAACCTAGCTACTCTTACTTGTACAGAAATGCACACAGAAGATAGCCTTTATGCCTAGGATTACCACCTAAATACAAGACACTCAGGTACATTTTAATATCAGATAAACAGCAAATACTATTTTAATATAAGTATGTCCCATGCAATATTTGGGAGATCCTTATACTAAAAAATGATTCTTTATTTATCTGAAATTCAAATTTAACTGGATACCCTATGTTTTTCTTTGCAGAATCTGGCAAACCTTTTGTGACTTCTTTAATATCTCAAAATGTCTTTGAATTATTCACCTATTAATGACTGTTTCACAAGGCCACAAGTTTCTTCCTTTGAGATCTCATAGTTATTGTTCCATTATCATCAGGAATTTCATGTTACAAGGAATTCTAAGACAAGTTTGTCTTTTGTAGCATATGGTAGTTTCTAAAAGTAAAAACATTGCACCAGGATGTGTTTCAGTATTGTTTTGTTTTCAGTACTTTTGCCTAGTTTTCAATGAGTTGTTCATTTTGCATTATCAGCTCAGGGAAATTTCTCTTATTATGGTCTCGGTTAATGTATCTTCACATTTAATCTCATCTCTTTCTTAGGAAATAGTCTCTGTGTTTTAGATTTTCTCTTCTGTACTCTCTGTCCATCATATTTCTTTTCTGTCATTGTTTTAATCTCTTTGTCTTTTGCTCTTGCATTATAAGAACATTTTTACAGCACCTTCCACATCACTGACTCAATTTTCTGCAGTGTCAATTCTGTTCTTTATAGTTTCTAATGTAGGTTTTTAATTTTGCTCTTGTGCTGTTGGTTTCCTATATTCAACCATTTTCCTTTTCATCTGATTAGTGTCTAAACACCTCAGCTTCTATTATTTGAATTTTATACATTCTTCATTTTTCTTGAATTTTTTTATAATCACAAAGAAAATGCATTCTAAAGTTTACTTCTCTTTTTCCATTTTTTAGATATAGGCTAATTTTCTACATCTTGAATACAATTTCAGTCCTTTGTGTTCAAAAATCTCTTTATTTGTCCATTGCTATCTCTTAAGTCTTCTTTGAGCAAAGACCCATCCCTCTACGGGTAAAGTTTACCACAAAACATTGTGAATGGCTCCTCTGTGTTCGCCTTCCCCGCCTATCTGGCTTCTATAGAAATCATGTTTCAGATCTTGATTTTAAAGACTTGCTTATGTGCTCAAGCTTTGGCTAAGACTCTGGTATCTAGGAATTTCTTGTCTATAGGCCCTGCTATCTTGAAATCAATTGCCATTCCTACTACCTGGTAAGCTGACTTTGCAGAGAGGAATTATTCTGACATAATGTGAAGACATCTGCAGTTTTTTTTTTCTTGCCAGGAAAGAGTGCTCGCGAGAGTGGGAAGCCCAGCATGTATGTTTCCCACTCAAGGTAGAGAGGCACAGAGGGGCTTAAAATCTTCAAAATCTTGCCTCCTCAACTCCTGCAACACTCCTGCAAACACCTCTGATTCTCCAACATCACACATCACATTACCTGCTTGGCACTTGACATTCCCAGTGTATAGGCAGCCATATTCAACCTCTCTGAGTAACCAGGGCATTCCTTTGGTTCTCAGTTTTTTGAAAAAATGCAGATAAGACATCTCAGTAAAAAGTAAAGACCAGGGATCTGCTTTCTGCTGAACTTTCTGTTCTTTTCCATGACCATCTTTGAAGATGCTTTCTGAGTAGAGGGAAAGCTGGGCAGAGCAGCTTCGCATACCTTAATGCCACTATCAGCCAATGCCTGATTTATCAGGAACTGCTGGCAACTCAGCTGGTTTTATCCCTCTCATGCTCGCCAGCAACTGTACTCTAATTGTCACTGCTGAATAAGTGCAGAGGAGAGGGTTTGAATGGCAGCCTTCTTATTCTGCAGAAACTGTACATTGGACATACAAATAAAGACACTATGGGGAATTGCCAGGAGTGGGGACTACAGTCTCTCCAGAGTTCCAACCCCTCATCCCCCACCTTGACTGCAAGAAGGGTCTCCAGGGGATGGACACCAGCCCATCAATGACTGTACAGACACTGGCAAGAAGAGGTGGTATAAGACGGGCTGTGGATAGCATGCAGAAGTCCCCACAGGCAAGGATCTACCATTGCTGATATGTTTGACAGTCCTGATCTAACACATGTCTTTTTAGTTTAACATTGTAAAACTCCTCTTGCTTGGGTGACAGGTGGTTGGGATCATTATTTTTTATTCAGTAAACACACAAGAAAGTCTAAGAGGGGAAGGAAGAAGTTAAAGTTTTCTGTCTGGACCTAACAGAAACTCTTGAACAGTCACATATGGATACAACCTCTCTGACCTTTGATTTTTATCAGTCACAATATGGAGAGAAGAATATTTAACTTGCAGACTATTGTGAGCATTAGATAAAATGACATTTCTAAAGCCCTTGGCAGAAAGTCATGAATATAGTAGGTGCGCAAAATGCGTTAGCAATTATCATGGTGCCTTATTCTGTCCTGTAAGACAGTTATGGGTGTATCTTACTCTTCATCCTAGACTATTTTTCATCCTTGCACCTTCCTCTGTTTTTCTTCAGGACTTTATTTCCTGAAACACAGCAGAAACTTAGCAGCTATTTGGCTGAATGTATGAATATTTAAATGAACAAATAACTGAACAAGTGATTCCCTGTTGAAATAGAAAGAACATTAAGTTAAGAATATTAGAATTAGAAGCTGATCATTAATTTCCTCTAGCAATAGGGGGTCCCAAGTAAGAGGGAGTCAGAGGTCTCTAGGTGATACTGAGCAGTATGTTATAATCTCTTTATCCCATATGTGTTTTTCACATTAATCTATGTGCCTTAACACTAGGACCTGGACAGAGCAGCTTTGCGTACCTTAACTTTGATGATGGCTGGGTTGTACTGCACTGCGTCTCCCCACTCCTGCATCAGTTCTGCTGTGGGTAGCTCCTTGTATGCCAGGGCAGTGATGTGCTCACTTGCCCCTCCTCGTACAAGGACCACCAAGTCCTCCACCATGGTGTTCCTCGTGTTTCTATCTGGAATAGACACGGAAAGCTGACATGTCATTAGAGGACTCAGTTTTACACTCTGGAATTTACTGCAGCCCAGTCAATGACCTGACCATTTTAATATTCACTGAGCTTACCTGGGAGATGTGAGTGGACAAGACACATCTCTGCTATCATGGTGCATAGGGCAAATGGAAGCTCGCTCAAGATGGGGGCAGGACAAGAAGGGGACATTTATCTTGAGCATCTATATGTGCCAGTCACTGAGTGAGTTTATGAAAGATAGAAAGATGATAAATGGATAAAAGATAGATATAAATAGATTGGTAGATATAAATAGATAATTAATAGGAAAATAGGTAGGTAGACAGATAAACAGGTAGATAGATAGATAATAGGTAAATAGGTAGATAAAAGGAGACAGATAGCAGATTGGTAGACAGATAAATAGGTAAATAGGTAGGTGTATAGGTAGGTAAGTAGGTAGGTGATAGATAACAGATAGGCAAATAGGTAGATAGGTAGATCATAGATTGGTAAATAGGTGGGTAGGCAGGCAGGAAAGTTGATAGGTAGGTAATAAGGTGGTAGGCTAGTAGGTATATAGATAATCTATAGATAAATAGGTAGATAGATGATAGGACATCGGTATAGCCTTGCAGCCTTGAACAAATCATTTATACAGTGTGACATTTCTTTTTTTTCAGTGTGACATTTCTTTTCACCTCATTTATGAAGTGGATCTACTACATCAATGTAAAAAATGAATGGTGTGATAACAGCTAATAATTATTGTTCATGTATACATCAGTAACTAATCCAAATGTTGCACATGAATAAAACTCATTAATCTTTACTACAAAATAGGAACTATAGAGCCCTCATTTTGCAGATAAGAAATCTCAGAGAGGTAAAGGTACTCACCCAGATGGCTCTGTCCAGGCCTTTAGCCTGTCTTTGTGTGAGATGACAAATGTTAGAAATTTTACAATGACTGTGCTCAGTACCTAAGAGAAACTCACTAACCAGTGGCTACTATAAAGCAACTATTATTTTGACTTATCATGGAGTTGCCAAGAAAGCCCTCAATCATATCAGGAAGTCATTCCCATTCTAATGTGTCTATGTTTTCAATGCCAAAATAGCTAACAGGTGTAAAATGGCTCCTCAGTTCTGAGCCTGCAACACTCAAGCATCATAAAAAATGGAAGTCTAGTATACTGCTGATAAGAGTATAAATTGGTACAACCATTTTAGAAAACAGCTTAGCACTATCTAGTCAAGTAGAAAACACCCACTCTCTACCACTCAGCAATTCAAGTCCTAAGTATATTCCCTGGAAAAACACTTACATGTGCACCAGATGACTGTGAGAGATGCTCATAGTAGTATGGATTATAATTGCTTGAAAAAGGAAATAACTTACATGTCCATCAACTGTAGAGTGGACCAAGAAACAGGGGTATATTCACATAATAAAATAGCATGCAGCAATGGAAGTGAACTAATTATGTTTACACACACACACACACACACACACACACACACACACACACATTGAATGAAAAATACAAACCTGGAAAGATTATATTCCATCAACATATAGTTCAGAAGCAAGCAGCACTAAGTCACATTGGCTAATGACACAGGTAGGTGATAAACCATAAAGAATGAAAGGGCATATTTAGCATAGAAGTTGAGAAAGTATTTGTCTAAAAAAGGGAGGCAGGTGCTGTTCTTCAGCAAGGGTTTCTGGTGTGGTGGGAAATGTTCTATTTAGTGACCTAGATGAGGGGTTACTTTTCAAGTCATAGCAGCATGGATTATAATTGCTTGAAAAAGGAAATAACTTACATGTCCATCAACAGTATCTATGTTTTATCTAGGATATACAAAGAACTCAAATGTGCCAAAAAGAAAGAAAACAAAGAACCCTATTAAAAATGGGCAAAATATATGAATAGACACTTCTCAGAAGAAGACACACAAGCAACCAGCAGATACATGAAAAAATACTCAGCCTCACTAGTCATCAAAGAAATGCAAATTAAAACCACACTGAGATACCACTTAACAGGATGACTATCATCAAATAACTCAAAAACAACAAATGCTGGAGAGGATGTGGGGAAAAGAAACCCCTTTACATTGTTGTGGGAATGTAAACTAGTACACCTCTGTGGAAAACTGTGACGATTTCTAAAAAATCTGAAAATTGACTTTCCATACAACCCAGCAATCCCCCTTCTGGGAATATACCCAGAGAAACTCAAATCACTCTACAATAAAGATATACACAGACACATGTTTATTGCAGCATTATTCATAATAGCAAAAACATGGAACCAACCATGCTGCCCATCGAAAGTGGACTGGATAAAGAAGATGTGGTGAATTTACACAGTGGAATATTATGCAGCTATAAATAAAAACAAAATTATGAACTTTGCAGCAACCTGGATGGAATTAGAGTCTATAGTACTCAGTAATTTATCACAGAAACAAAGATCTGAAGTGCCACATGTACTCACTCATAAGTGTACCTTGAACATTTTTCATAATACCATAAGAAAGGGATTGGCAGTAGTGAGACACTGCTAGGGGATGGGGGGCACATAACATCAATAAGGGTACCCATACTTCACCTGTATGATGACTACGAATGTATCTAACCCTCATTTGTATCCCACATTTTAAAAATAAAACAATTTTAAGATAAATAAATAAACAATAAAAAGTGCCTGTGTTTTATGTATGCCTATGTATGATACGTCTTCCAACCTAGCCCCACCAAAATGAACAAAGAAACAGCAATATCAACAAGTCAGTCACAAGCACAAGAGGCTGTGCTAGATTAGCAGTTGATTTTTGTGGTTATAGTCTTATTTTGTTTTGTGTCCCATATAATTCCAGGCACAAGTTTAGTAAGTAGAAAGATAAAGGCAGAGCTGCTTGAGTACAGAAGGGTTAGAAATCAGAGTCCAGCTGCTCAGCCTCTTGCCTACCCTACTTGCTATGTGGATTCCTGACTCCCTTGAATTGCTCCCAAATTTCCTGCCCCCAGACAGCTGGCTCTACAGCATGGCTTCAATACCCAACTTAGGTCTTGTCTTTCCTGCCACTTAGTTCCAGCTACGGAATTTGTGACCTTGCCTGCTCTTCTTGTCTCCATATCATTCATTATCTCAGGTAAGAACTAACCTCCTCTACCTACCATCCACCCCAGCATCCTACAATGAGCCAGGCCAACTTCCAGCCCTCAGAGCAGATTTACATTATCAGTTGACCTTTTCCTGCCTAGAAACAAGTTCATTATTTTGCTCCTCAACTTGCAGTTCACCTATTCCCTTTTCTAGGAAGCCTATTCTGATGTACCGGACCAGATATGGCCCTGCCATTATCTCTTTAGTTGTTTGCTAACCTCACATGAACACTATGAGGATGTGAATTCAGTCTTACACCTTTTTGCACACTCAGCACATAGGAGTAAAACCTTGGAACATTTTTATTGGATAAACTATTATTTTTCCCCTTATTTTATTTTAAAGCTGTGGAGTACAAGTCAGAATTAGGTATATAAGTGGTCTATGTGCAGGTGAAGTTTGGGCCTCCCACTGGTCCTCACTTCCTCTAGTTTAGGATTGGGTAACCTTAGTGATGTTATGTACTTCACCTCTCTCCCTTCCCTTGCAATGTCCCACTACTGCTGATCCCTCTTTTATAGTACTGTGATAATTGTTCAGGAACCACTTATGGGTGAGAATATGCAGTATTCAGTTCTTTGTTTTGGTGATAGATCACTGGGTATAATGGCCTCTAAATCTATCCAAGTTGCTGTGAAATCCATAATTTTGCCCTTCTCTATGGCTGCATAATAGTCCGTCATATATATGTACTACATTTTTAAAATCCAATAGCTGGGGAAAGGATACCTTATTCAGTATACGGTGCTGGAAAAACTGGTTGACCACATGCAGAGGAATGAAACAGGACCCCTACCTATCACCATACATAAAAATCAACTCTATTTGGATCAAAGACCTAAATGTAAAACCTCAAACTATGAGAATCTTAGAAGAAAATGCAGGATATAGTCTTCTGCACACTGGAACCAATTCTTGATCATAATCCCAAAAGTATATGCTATAAAAGATACAACAGACAAGTGGTACCTCATCAAACTGAAATGTTTTTGCAAAGCAAAAGAAACCATCAAGAGAGTGGGGAGACAGTACACAGGATAGGGAAAAAAAATATTTTACTAACTGTGTACCTAAAGGCCTAACATCCAAGATCTATGAAGAACTCAAATGAGCTGAAAGGAAAGAGCACTAACAGCCTTATTAAAAAGTGGGCAAAAGACATGAATAGGCACTTAAAAAAAAAAGACATATGAACAGCCAACAGATACATGAAAAAATGCTCAGCCTCACTAATCACCAGAGAAATGCAAATCAAAACCACATTGAGATACCACCTAGCTCCAGTAAGAATGGCAATCATTAATTAAATTTAAAAAAAAAACAGATGCTGGCAAGGATGCAGAGAAAAGGGAGTACTTCTACACTGTTGGTGGGAATGCAAACTAGTTCAGTCTCTATGGAAAACAGTGTGGCGATTTTAAAAATAACTAGAAATTTATCTTCCATATGACCCAGCAATACTCCTTCTGGGAATATTCTTGGAGGAACTCAAATTATTCTATAAAAATGATACCTGCACACACATGTTTACTGCAATACTATTCACAACAGTAAAAACATGGATATATTATTATTTTAATTGAAATGCTTTGAATAGCCAGTCTTTGGCTTAAAGAAAGACTGGGACCAGGAGGCACTAAGGAGAAAAAGATTATAAGCATAGACGTCACAAGGCCCTGCCACTCACCTTTTATTTCATTCAGAATACCATTGCATTTGCCTGCTGACACACCCAGACTGACGTAGACATTTTTTATGGCACCACCAATTTTAAAATCGTTTTTGGCACAGTCACGGACGTTGTCAAGAGAATAATCTGAAGGAAGCAAGGAAACAAATCCATGACCTAAAAAGGTAGTTCACTCTGTCCCTTTTCCTGTGATCAATTCCAGAGGTCCAACTCTTGAAGGCCATCACAGGGACTTGGGTTCAAATAAATGGGTCACCACCTTGATGACAAGAAATGTAAGCAGCTACTGGCACAAGAGAAGAGACCTCATAGAACTCAGACTCAACTTTTTTCAGCCTCTTCCCAAGACTCTGAGGATTTTTGCTGCCCTCCAAAGAGGAGAAGTACTCAGGGGACCATTTTCTAAAAATTTGACTTCTAATCAAGTCTCTAGGAACAGAACCAGTGAGTAGAGAGGCTGCTGCAATCTGATCACCATATCCTGACCCATCTTTAATAAATTATTTTTAAAACCTTCTTAATTAGTTGATTGAGGTAATGTATTTAAAATGTCTAATACAGTACCTGGTAAAGAGGACAGCCAATTTTCCTTATTTCTTTATTTTTGAACCATTACTCAGTTTGTTACTCCCTAATTCTCCCCAAGCCATCCTCCTCCCTTGGTCTTGCAGAAACCTCAGATATGGCTCGTAAGTATTTTTTTCTGGAGCACCTTGAGGCCATTACAGGGACAACAGAGCAATTTTGACCACTAGGGTTGTCTAGAAATGTTGTGTAGACCAGTTTTTCTCAAAGTGCATTCCTTGAAACGAGTCCTATGAGATAGTAGCAGGTGTTTAAAAAAAGAACTGTTGTGGTCAAGTAAGAGTGACAAATGTTGCATCAAATGAGATAGGTCATTTTATTGCAGTACATTAATGAACCCTAAGAGTGGAATCTATAATGCATTTCCCAGACTTATTTGATTATAGAGCCCCTTTGTAGGAGGCATTTTTGAGGAACAATTAATAACATTTTTGAAGCCACTGTTATGGGGAAAGGTACCCCTGATCTTGGCAAGACTGAGGCCACACTGACATAAATTTACACCATATACCATGAGTCTTTTTGCAAGTACCCTGGACTTGTAACCAAGCCCTGGCTATGCCACTGTAATCTGTGTGACCTAGACCAGTTTGCTTAACCTGACAAGTGCCATGTTGTAGGAAAGCAGGACTTACATTTCAGACTTGTAATTGACTACAGTTAGCTTTCTGACTGGGATATCTGTATAGAGGATAGATTATGGGGAAGGAGTGAGGTTGAATATTAGTTTGGAACTATGGTAATAATTTGGGATCTTGCTATATAAAGTGTTGTCTCTGAGCCTGCAGCATTAGCATCACCTCAAAGCTTGTTAGAAAGGTAGACTCTCAGGCTCTCAAGTCTCACTCCAAACCCACTGAGTCGGGATCTACCTCTTCCAAGATTCATATGTAACTCACATTCCACACTAAATTCTGAACATGAAGTTCTGGTCATGTGGTGAGCCTATGGTGGTAGCAGTAAAAAAGCAGAAAATGTAATTTGAGGGTAGAGCTGATGGGATTTCCTAATAGATTAGAAATAAAGAAAAATCATCAAGGTTGATTCCTTGGTTTTTGGTTGGAGCAACTGATTGGAGGGTGAAACTGTTTCTGAGATGTAGATGACTATAGAAGAAACATGTTGGAGAAAGAAAAACAAAATTTCTCAGGGGTTTCTTACATTTGTGATGGCTGTTACATCCAAGTAGAGACATCAAGGAGACCTTACAACATAAGCTCCTGGGTGCAGGGAAGAGATCCAGGATGGGTATATATGTTAGGAGTTATCTGCGTGTTGAAGGCACTTAGAGCCATGAGATTGGATGTAATTATCTAGAGAGAAAAGTTGTAAGGAAGGAAATGGTCTAAACAGAAGGCTAGGTTGAAGAGGACTGATACTAACAAATCAAAAAGAGGTGGACGAGGCATCTGCCAATGAGACTGTGAATGTAGCCAGGTAGGTAGAAGGAAAACCAGAAGAATAACTTAGGACTCTCCCCGCAACAATGAATAACAACTTCTCCCATCAGCCCATCATTCACAAGAGCCCCACCAGGAAAGTCATGGTCCCCAGGGCAGCGTACCTGCTCTCTCCATGGCCTCTTTGTTCATAATGAGTGTGTATTCATAAATGCCCCCAAGCACAGCCTCGGTGATGTAGTGGGTCCCAAAATCACGGAAGAGATCTCTGTACTCTCCGTAGCTGTACTCCAGGGGCAGCCGCTTAACTCTCTGAAGGAATTCGTAATGGAGCATGAGGCTTCTGGGTTTCAGCTTGTAATGTGCTACTTCAAGGTCAGAGCGCGCATGCAGAAATGTGCTTTTCTAAATGAAATACCAACATGGGAAAACCAGACCTTTAAAGTTAGGAATCTGGAACGAGAAGGTGAACTTTACAAATACCATCCGATGTTCTTGGCCCAGGGTCATCACTCTTATAATTCCTTTAGGATCCTTGAGGGAGGACAGACGGTCTCTATGACAAATTTTCAATTTTCATGCATATTCTGACATCCTGTTCAGCTTGGAAAAAACGGTTCTCAATTCGCCTCCTCACTGTATCGAATAAGGACTGAGAAGTGTAACAGAAGTGGGCATGGCAGGGAGCAGCTGGAGTGCTTGGGGCCATTCTGATGGGAAACAAAGGAGTGCTTTAGGAAGGCCAGCTATGGTAGGCATTGCAGGAGTCAGCACCACTACAACCAGCACATCAAACCCAGTGCCTGCTTTTGTAAATAAAGTTTTATTGTAACACAGCCACATACACTAGTTTACATACTGTCTGCAGTTGTTGTTGTCCTGTAGTGGTAGCACTGAGTAGTTGCAGCAGAGATCCTGAGGTCCCTCGAAGCCTAAAATATTTCCTACCTGGCCCTTTACAGAGTAAGTCTGGTAACCCCTCGATGTATGGGATAGCCTGAAAGTTGGTGATGCCAAATGAAATATGAGCCAAGAAAAAGGGGAAGGGTGGGAAACATCTGTAAGCTACAATCTGCCAATCCTAAATCCTTCAGCTTTATAAATCCATGCCAACTCTACTAGAGGTTATTGCTCAAGCTCTTCACCCTGTCTCCTGGCTTGCTCTCACTCCATTTTAGTCCAGCCCAGTGACTCATGATCCCCTTCCTTCTCCCTTGCCCCTCCTGCCTAAGCAGTCATCAGGTACTCTGTTCATACTCTGAATATTTTAGGTTACACCTCCTCTTGCTTGGGTTATTATCAAAGCTTCTCCCCGCCCCATCTCCCTTCTTTCTCTAGCCTGCCTTCAATGCCCAATTAGAATCAATGTCTTTAACTCTGACAATATTGGAATAATGTTCCTCTGGACTTAAAATAAAATGTGCATAGGTTCACCATTGCTTCCAGAATGAAACCACCTCCCTTGCTTTGAGTATGAGACCATCACAATCTGTCCCCCAGTGGCCTCTCTGGATTCAATTTCTACACACTTGAAGCTTTTCTCTCCATACCTTACTATTTTCTACCTACACACCATACATTAGAATTCATCCAATTTTCCCATGTTTCCAAACATTTCCTTTCATGATGTAATTATCATGTGCTGTTCTTTCTCCCTGAAATGTTCTTCCCTTCCTTATCTATCTGATGCACACCTATTTATCTTTTAAACCCATACTTGGCCATTGCCTCCTATTTGATACCATCCCTGAAGGTCCCAGACACACACTCAGCATTCCCTTTTCTAGCATTGCACTGCACTTGCTTGTATCTCCTTTAAAGCATTTGCCATGCTGTATTACAACTGATATAAACAATTAAGAATAATGTATCTACTTACTTCTTTACTGCTTCTACTAGGCTGTGAACATGAAGACAAGAATCATTTGGGTCCCTAGTCTCTAGGGGGAGTTGCCTAGCATAACGTTAGCATCCTATATCTGGTCACTGATTGTGGAAGAAGGGGTGGGAGGGAGGAGAAAGAAAAGGAGAAAGAGAGGGAGATAACAGATAGCATCCTTTGTTTTCCCTCCTAACAAGGTAAGTTCCTTTTAAATGGTACTATCTTTAATTGCTACAGTTTAGTCTTGAGTCATTCTGAGTCTAAAGATGGAAGAAATAGGCTCTGCCTCCAAGGAGCTCACAGCCTCTGCCTCCAAGGAGCAAATGGGAGGTGCAGGACCCATTTGCTGCTGGTTATTATATTGGCAGCAGACACCTTTCTGAGTCCCTCAGTATGTATTTTTGCTCATATGAATCTATATTTCTCTTTCATATGCCCCTCTGATTAATTTTCTATTAAATCACACTCAAGTTAAAAACTCTCAGAGACTGGAGAATAAAATGCACCTCCCCCACCCTGGGATTCGGGGTTGCTCAATTCTGCCTGTCACCTGCTTCTTCCAACATCCTGTGCCATTGATTCCCATTCTAGTTACTCCCCTCCCATCAAACCACAGGGTTTCTCCTTTACATTCTGGGCAATACGGAGCAGGCGATATAATTGAATTAGTATTGTAGAAACATTTCTCTGCCAACATGTATATGTGAAGGAGCAAGCTGGGAGACAGACCATTTAGTAGGGCAGAGCAAGAGATGAAAGGGCCTGGGTTAATTAAGGTGTAATAGGAGCCAGAGTGTATAAAACCAACCAAACAAAAACATTGGAGTGTAACATTGAAGGATCTGGCGACCAACAGATGTGGAAATGAAGCAGGAGTGACAGCCACAAATGATTCTGCAGTTCTTAGCCTGGAAAAGATGAAGATGGAAAAATGCCACTAACACAGATTGAACATTTAGAAAGAAGAAGTTGCTTTGGAGTGTCAGCAAGGCATCCAGGTTAGATGCTCAGAAGAGTGGGTGGAACAGTTATGGAGATTTACAGAAAGCAGTTGGAAGCAGTGGTAAAGGCTCATAGCTTGTCCCTGTACGATGATCATTTATGTACCTAATTCTGAATTGTACTCTACATCTTTTTTTGTTTTTTAGAAAACAGAAAAGCTCCCACAGTGGGAGGAGACCCAAGGGGGTTGCCCTTTATCCCACATCTTTAAAATAAAATAAAATCTCAATTCAAAAAAAAAAGAAGAAGAAGATGAAGCTGGACATGGTAGCTTATGTCTGTTATCTCAGCACTTTGGGAGGCAGAGGTGAGAGGATTGCCTGAGACCTCATCTCTACAATAAATAAAAAAAAAATATCGGTTGGGTGCGGTGGCTCAAGCCTGTAATCCCAGCACTTTGGGAGACTAAGGTGAGTGGATTGCCTGAGCCCACAGGTTCAAGAACAGCCTGGGCAACTTGGCAGGACCTCATCTCTACAATGAAAAATCAAAAAATTAGCCGGGTGTGGTAGGTAGCGCATGCCTGTAGTTCTGGCTACTTGGAAGGCTGAGGCAGAAGGATTGCCAGAGCCCAGCAGGTCGTCACTGGGGTGGCCGTGAACCTGCCACTGCACTCCAGCCTGGGTGACGAAGTGAGATTCTCCAACTCAAAAAAAAGAAGAAGAAAAGAATAGGGAAAAAAAGAGTTAATGTAAGACCAAGTTATTTTTTTTGTGAAAAGATTTCAAAACAACAGATACATAGTTGGTTGTTAGGACTAGTGGTTATGTGGAATATAGATGCATCTGTGGGCATGCAATTTCAAAAGAATCCATATGTTATGGTTTATATGGTCCCTCCAAAACTTGTGTTGAAACTTAACTGCTATTCTAACAGTGTTGGGAGGTAGAAGCTTTAATAGGTGATTATGTCATGAGGGTTCTGCCCTCATGAATGGATTAATGCCATTGTCTGGGGGTGGTTATTAAGGAAGTGGGCCCCTGGTAAAAATCTGACGTTATGTGTGTGCTTTCTTGCCATGTGGTACCTTCCACCATGGCATGACATAGCAAAAAGGGCCTCACCAGATGTGGCCCTTCATTCTTGGACTTCCAAGTTTCCAGAACTGTGAGCCAAACAAAACTCTTAGCTTTATAAATTATCCAGTTTGAGGTATTATTTTATAGCAGCAGAAACTAAGCTAAAACAATTTATTAGTTTAAAAGCAACAAAAGGATACTTACAGTATGAGAGAATCGCTTGGTTCTGCTAATATAATGTCTGCCTTGACCACTTGCACTGTTAATGCCAAGTTCAAATATTCCAGTGACTTTAAAACCAAAACTGAAACTAGACATGCCAGTTGCATTCTTTATGACATTGTGTTCAAAATCTGAGTATGACTCATATTCTGTCAGTGCAAATTCATATTTTCCTTGGGTCTAAAGGAATAAAAAAGAAAACGTTTATTTTATTTGATTCAAATCAGTTCAGTACAAGTCATCAGACATGCCCTTTTCTCACTATGTGCCAGATACTGGACTAGATGCTCTGGATACAGAAAATTCAGGGCCAATTTGTGATCCCACCCTCACGGTTCCTGATCAGTAGATCCAGACCTGTTCAATACTTGGATTGAAACTCAGAGGTTGGTGTCTGATTTGGATTTCGACTGGTAGAAATCCAGGAGGACATTCTGGGTTATGGGTTCGGCTCAAGCAAAGGCATAGAAGTGGGGAGGGGCAAGGTGTTTTCTAGGAGCTGCAAGGTGGAATCAGAGAATGCAAGAGCAAGGAGAGAGGGAAGATGTTGTGAGAGGATATGCTGGCACCAAAACATTGAGGTTTCTGAACTTCGTGTTCTGAAATCTGGGCTTCATCCAATGATGAGCTAACAGAGGAAGTGGCTGAGCCTCAGGAAGATCATTTGGGACAGCATGGTTGGATTGCAAGACACAATTTGGAGTCAGAGAGACAAGCCCTTGTAGAGGCTGTATGTGCAGATGACAATTGATGAGAGTTTGGTCTGAGGCAATAAAGGGGACGAAGTGGCAAGAGCAGGAAAGTGCCTTAGAGAGAACTTAGGGGAACCATTTGCTAGAACATCAGTATTCATCCTCTTGTGACAGGGAAGGGCCAAGAGTACTGCCTCAATGGTCCTGAAGTCCAAGTTCCATGGACTTCCGAATGTCTGCAATTCTCAGAAGAGGCAAATACTTCAGCTGCTGCAGAAGAAAGCAGAAGTGATTTGGGAAGTGTCTGCAGTAAGGCTGCTGAGCTGCACTGTGTCACTGCCCCTCTCTAGTCTTTGTCCTTTTCTAGACTGTGGGCAAATGACTTGGCCTTTCTATGCCTCAGTTTCCTCCTTCCACCTGGCTGTCACTTACCTGTGGCGTGTAGCTCTCCACATTGTATGGCTTCCTAAACTTCGTGTTCAGGATATAGTGAGGGGAACATCCTCCAGCATAGTACCTATGATCAAGAACCGGACCTTCCAAACTGTTTGTGAACAAATTTATCCTGCAAGGAAGGCATAGAGATGGTGAAGAGGTTAGGGTTTCAGGTTGTGTGATCTTGATTGGCAGACTCTGTTGCATGAAACCAAAAATGTCTTGGCACAGCATTCAAAGGCCCTCAATGTCTGGTCCAAACCAACTTTCCAGCTTCATCTGTAGCCACTCCCAACCAGGACTGCATACCCTGGTCCTCCTCAGCCATTAGAGAGGCTTGCTCTCGCTCAAGTCTGTACTGCTCCTATTTCGGTCAATACTGTACCCTGGGCCCAGAATGCCTTTCCAGTTAGTCGCTGTTTTATCTCTTATTTGTCTGTCAAGATTGTGCTCTGTAGTTACCTATGGCAGAAAGGCTTCACTGACACTTGTGCCTGAAACTCCCACTGCAGCTGATTTAGAGACCCTCACAACGCCACGTGCTTGCCCCATCATACATTTATTGTTCTGTGCTGTTGCAGATTTCTTACAAGAGTGGGATAGATAAACTCATAGTCTTTGGAGGGAGACACCTCAGTTCAAATCTCTTTTCTGCCAGTTACGTCCTAAGTGACCTTGGGCAAACCAGTCAAGCTCTTTGTGCCTCGGTCTCCTCATATGCAAAATGGGGAAGTGAAAATACTATCTCATGGGGATGTTGTGAGAATCACATATGTGATTTTTTATGGAGTGCTTAAAACACTGCTTGGGCCATGGTAAATGTTTGCTATTTATGTGTCTGTCACCTCCACTATATCATGTACTGTTTGATGGTGGCAGTTTTCTTAATTTCTGTACAACCTCATTATGAAATTTGCTCACGATAATTACTATTTACTGAGAGTTTAATTGGTGACAGACATAGTTGTGGGTGGTTCCGTGACTCGTCTCATTTACTGTGCCTGCAGCCCTGGGCATCAGATGTTATTATCTCCATTTTAGAGAGGAAGTTCAGCCTCTACTCAGACATTATTTCTTACTGCCTCCTAAGACCAGCCTCCATTTTGACCATCTTTGACTACTAAAAGTTCTTTTTTTGTTGTTGTTGTTGAAAGGGGCTCTGTCTCCTATCAGCTTCCAGTTGTTTTTGTTTTTGTTTTTGTTGTTGTTGTTATTTTTTAGATTCAGAGGTTACACATGTGTATTCGTTACAGGGACAGAGTGTGTAGTATTGCGAATTGGGTGGCTTCCACCTGTTGGCCTTGGTTCTGTTCCTCACCGGAGCTGTCTGGGGGCTCTTCCTCAAGACAGGCTTCCACATATTATAATAATGCATGCTTATTGGTTTTATTTAAGAAATATAACATGTGCTTACTTTGTAGAGGCATCATTTTAATCAGTTTACATATATTGGTTCATCTAGTCCTTATGAGCTTTAATCCTTATGAGGTAGGCATATTGCTATCCCCATTTCACAGATGAGGAAAGTGAGAATAATCGACTAGCCCAAGGCCTCCCTGCCAGCAGCAATGGGTGAGGCTGGGACTCGAAGTTTGACAGTCTGGTTTGAGAGCAGAGTTCGTATTCTTCCCACCACACAAGCTGCCTCTCACTTTGTTTGTGACAGTCACACTCACTTATTCAATCCTCACAGAACTTTGAAAGAAGGATACGATTAACATCCTTCTACAGATGACAAACTCAAGTCCCATATAAAGTGCCTCCCTCAAGGTCCCCAGTGAGATGCTCCTTCTGTCCCCTCCTACAGAGTCGAGGCAGACCTCAGTACTGGCTCTGCTCACCACCCTCTAGCTGTGTAACTCACTCAGTTCTTCCAAGCCTTGGTTTTTGTGTCTGCAGGGCAGGGGTTATGATAACTAGCTTATAAGGTGGTCCTGAGAAAAGCTCCACCCCACATGAAGAGTCTCTCTCTCTAAAGATAATCTTTAATGACTGAGATTTGATGTTTGTTTAGGAAGAAGTCTATTCAGGTCACTCTTCCACTCCCCAGGCTGCATTACATGTGATGCTTTTTTTTTTTTAAATTAAAAGATAGGATCTTGCTCTGTTGCCCAGGCTGGAGTGCAGTGGCACAATTGTGACTCACTGCAGCCTCAAATTCCTGGGTTCAAGCAAACTTCCCACCTTGGCCTCCCAAAGTGTTAAGATTATAGGTGTGAACCACCTTGCCCAGTCTCACATATGATGATTCTCAATGTGTCTGAAGGGAGTGCCTCATTTTTCTACCTTCAGGCTGAGAAGCTGCAAAATGTGGCAGAAAAGTAGGGTGAATGTCAGGCCAGTGTGTTCCCTTCTGAATTTGCTCCTCTGACCTTGCCAGAAGATTGGACCAACTCAGAGATCCCCAGAAGCTTGAAACAGACTGTATTCGCATCCTGGAAATCCATTCCTTCACTGACTAATTAGAAGCCTCTCCTCTCGGCCAGGACAAATACTGGCAGCTAGGGACACAGAAATAGATAAAATCTATGTTGCAGGTTGTCAATAGGATTCAAGAGGAAATGCTTAGGAAGCACCTAACACAGTCACAGTGCTGGAGTTAAAAAAGCTTTCTCCTAAGCCCTCATGCAGCAGCCTATGTGGTTTCCATGCCCAGCTCCGTCCTGGTGTCCCTCACCCAGCCCTTCCAATTCCAGATCTTTCCATGGGACACTCTCCTGCAGCAATTGGAACTGTTCTCAAAGAGCAGCCAGACACATCACCTACACTACAGTTTTTTCTCAGAAAGGAAAGAGAGGACCTCTGTTTCTATCAGCTCTCTCCCTCTCTACTCTCCAGAATTCTATCTAATGTTGTGCCTACCCATCTACACACCAGAAATACAGTAACTTACCCACTAGCCAGACGGCCGATTGCCCAGTATTGGTCCATTTCATGATGACATTTTTTATAAATTCTTCTGCAGTTTGCCTCATCTGACTGGTCTCCACAGTCATTGTCCCCATTGCAAAGAAGTCTGCGGTTCACACACCTCCCTGGAATGGAGAAAGGGTTTTACCTACAACCACAAGGATGGCAAGATAGTATAAGCACCTACTAGGTGCCAGACATTTTGCTGGGCCTTTAATGCTGTTTTAATTACTCATCATGTATCCAGATTGGTTGTGGCACTCACAGTTTATTCCTCAATTTTCAACTTCCCCCAGGGAAAAGAGGCCAGGGTTGTACTCCCAAAAGCACTTTGAGGGAGGTTGATTTGGAATCATTCTGTAAGGGGAGAGGTGGGAACAGGGAAAGTGTGTCACAAATAGGGGCCAGGTGACCAGACAGGAGGACAATCTAGACTCCCTCTTTCAAGTTGGAGAGAGGAGGTGAGATTGGAGGATCCTGCAAGTAGTTCTAGCTGGGCCACCTTTCATGTGCTACTTAACCTCTCTTCCTCAATTTACTCATTTGTAAGATAGGAAAGTCATCATACCTATCCCATAGGGTTGTTTTTGATCATTTAAATGAATAATAAAACAGTACTGACCGCACCCAGGAAGTGTTGAGTGTTATCATTATTGTTGTTAGTGCTTTAAAGGACCAAGAACACAGTGGTAGAATATATTTGCTATAGGTTTGGGACTTTTGACTCTTTAATCACAAATTATTTCCATCAAACCACACCATCTTCAACACCATAGCCATTTGGACCGTGGAAAATTATTTGTGTTGCTTTTGCTTTCTTTAACCTTTTTCCCTTTGATTGATTTTCTTTCTCATTTGTATATTGTTAGGAGATAAAGCCCATAAAACAGGTGACCTTGTTTCCTTAGATGCATCTGGTCACTTTTAACCAATGTTCTTGGAGTGTTAACAGCAGAAAAATAACAATCTGGTCTTTAAATGTTTCTCAAAAGGAGTTTAAACTAAATCCTGCCTGAATAACCATTATGGCTTTGGTCAGAATCATGGAACACTGGCCATAATGAGTACATGGATACACTGTAAAAAACGTATCTCAGATTTATTGGATGGAATTCTGCATTTGCAATCAGCCCTAGAAATTGTCCTAAGAATCTCTAACTCCTTCTTAAAAGATCCCCAGGCACAGTCCACATGGCTACAGTAAATACAGATAGTTGCAACTCCTATCTAGACCATTTGGGTCTAGATATTCTTATTTTTCCAGAGACTTGAAGAAATAGAGAGGCATACATTTGCTTGGAGTTTCTAAATGAATACGTTGAAAAAAATAACCGTTCATTTAGTTTTGCAGCAGGTGATTATTCATTTGTGCACTCTGTCTTCCCTTCCTCATTCTCTCCCTACCCCCTCCCTTTTGTATCTTCCTTCCTTTGGTTCATCTATCCATCTGTCCTTTTTTTCTTTCTTTCCTTCTTACAATCAGTCATTTTTACTGACTACATCATGCATCCTGGACTTGGTGATGCAAAAATGCAAGTGACAGGGAATATCTTTGCGAAGACTCCTCAGAGATAAATGATGCTAACCACCCTGTTTAACTGTTTTAGGATTTGTCACATTGTATTCAACCCAAGGCCTCTGAGCGAGCTAGCTGAGCTAACAGTCTCCAAAGAGCTTTCATATCCATGATGTCACTTGAAGCTTTCACATCACCTAGTTTTCTGTTGAGGGAACCAAAATACAAGAAGGTTTCGCCTGGTCAATAAGTCAAGATAAGACGTGACCCAAGATTTCTGACATTAGCATGCATCTTTTTGGTGTCCTTAATGTCAAGGAATGTAAGTCTGAGTACTCAGATTTCTAACTGAAGCTCTTCCACTTATCTGTCATATGATCTTGGGCAAGTAACTTCTCCAAGTCTCAATTTCTTGTAAAATGGGGGTAAAATAATATCTATATTATGGGGTTATTTTCATGAAATAACACATGCGAAAAGGGATCAGAGGTTTGAGGACGAGGGGACCTCCTGACCTGTCCCATGACCCTGATCTTGAGCCCCAGGCATGGCCCATCCTCTTGCTCTTCACGTGCCCTCTCCTCATTTGCAGGCTCCCCCGGCCCACTCCTAATGGAGTCATACCTGTCTGTGCACACACAAAACCTTCACATCGCACTTGACTTCTGCATGGTCTGCTGGTAACACAGTCTTCAACTTCCTTGTCAAAGAGGTTGCACGGTTCCCCGAGGAACTGAGAGGGCTGTAGCAAGTAGGCATGCCTGTACTGTAGCAGAGAAAAGCAGGGTGAACTAAGGCAGAGCCGACAGGACCTCAGATCTGAGGGATACCTGTGCAAATGGGTCTCAAGCCAAGACTTGGGCTCCACAAGAGCTTTGAGGTGTCTGATTGCTGCTGCCTCAGCCCCTCGCGCTTCCCTCACTAGGTACTCTTAAGGGTCTATGTTGTGATTGGCTGTTTGTCTGAGGGGCTCTTCAGCTAGTCTGCGAGCTCTCTGAGGGCAAGGATCTTGCCTTTGATTTCTGCATCTGCAGTGACAGTCAAGATTTGCTGGATGTGGGAAAGACATGGGCTTTGGAGTCAAAAGTTAGTAAGTGGGCACTTTGGGAGGCTCATTCTGGGGTGGGAGGATTGCTTGAGCTGGGGAGTTTTGAGACCAGCCTGGGCAGCATAGCAAAATTTGGTCTCTACAAAAAATTCAAAAAAACTAGCCTAGTGTGGTGGCACGTGCCTGAAGTCTCAGCTTCTCAGGAGGCTAAGGTGGAAGGATTGCTTGAACCCAGGAGGTCAAGGCTGTGGTAAGCTGTGATGATACCACTGCAATCCAGCCTGGGTGATAAGTGAGATTCTGACTAAAAAAAAAAATTAGTAAGTGGACTGATGTAGCCAGTTGAATAACAAATAATAATACTAATAACCACAATAATAAAATCTATTAGCTTAATTACTCCAGTGGGTTGACTCAAATATTCTCATTTATGCTGGGAGGCATAAGTATATTATAAATGACAAAGCATGAGCTTTGGAACTACAACTCAGTCTTATACTTTCTAGTCATGTGATATTGGACAATTTACTTAACCTTTGTGACTCTCATCTGTAAAATGGGGATAATGAATTATCTAAATGTATAGTTAGGGAGTTTAAATTATGCACATATATATCATCTTATTATGTTGTCTAGTACTGAAGGAATGAAGGATGTACGTCCTAAAATATGCCAGATTCGTATACTGATTATTTAGAGTTGAAAACATTAGAAAGGCTAGGCACGGTGGCTCAAACCTGTAATCCCAGCCCTTTAGGAGGCCTAGGTGAGAGGATTGCCTGAGCCCAGGGATTCAAAACCAGCCTCGGCAAGTTAGCGAGACCTCATCTCTACAATAAATAATAATAATTAAAAAATCAGCCAAGCAAGGTAGCATGTGCCTATAGTTCCGGCTACTTGGAAGACTGAGGCGGAAAGATCACCTGAGCCCAGCAGGTCGATGCTGGGGTAGCCATGAGTGTGCCACTGCACTCCAGTCTGGGCAACAGAGTGAGACTCCCACATACACACACACAAAAGAAAAGAAAAGAAAAGAAAACATTAGAGAAATTGCAGTTGCAGAAAGTGCTAGCTAACCTGTCTCCCCTTGCATGAAGCAAGTCATAAAGATTCCTCTGGGATGTGTTCTCTCCCTGTACCAGAGAAAGAAAATAACCCTTATCACCAGAGACTGGGAGTCGGGAGCTGCAACAGACTTGAAAAGCACCCTTAACGAAGTCTCCCTTATCTTCCACTAGTTTTATACCCTGTCTCTATCTCCCAGCGACTCCTCTAGAAATTTACTGCCCTTAGCCGGATCCCCTCTGTCCTATAATTTCTTTATAAATGTATTGTTCTTTGTCTAAAAAGTATGAAAGCATCTTGTTTTGACCACTTCTTCAGACTCTTGTAACAATCCCCATGTACATGTAAAACTAATAACATGTGTATGCTTTCTCCTGTTGATCTGCTTTGTGTCAATATGGTTTCCAGATTCAGCCAAAGAGCCCACATTGGAGCTAACAGTGTCTTGGAGAGGCTCTCTGGCTCTTCCACAGTACATAATTAACACTCAATTTCTTGAACTTTGTTATCATTAATGATTTTTAGAAGTCAACATTGCTAGATCGCTTCCTTCTTGTTCATTTATTCCAAAGTATCGACTGAGACACCCAATGTTGAAAAAAGTAGGTGGTATTATTGCTTTGTTTTCACTCAGAATCATGTTCTCCAGTCTGCCCTTGAGAAGGTCACACGTGGCGTTGTTGGACCCCAGGCAGCAACAAGAAGGAACAAGAGTTCCATGAAGGGAAGTACAGAGTGCTCTATACACTTGTGGGGGATCCCTCATGCAAACTTAGAAGATGGTAGAAGGTTTTTGAAAGGAGTAACACCTAGGCTGAAACTTGAAGGCTCCAGAGGGTAAGTGACCAGAGTGGGAGGAAGACATAGACACGTTCAGGTAACACAGGGTCCTCCAGGCCTCCCGAAGGTAGATTTAGTGTTTTATCCTTGGGCAAGGAGAAGTCACTTCAGAAGAAGGAACTGATCGGATTTGGGTGGTTTTCACATGTTTGTTGCAGGCAAGTTTTGGTGCACAAAAAAAGAACAAACAGGGCTAGCTGCCCCTTTGCAGAATGACATTTTAACAAGGCATAGTTATTCCTTACATCTGTACTTGGGGCTTTGGAAATCCAAAGAAGAAATGTTGATAACCATCACCCATGCACCTTTGTTCCTGCAAAGGGGCATTCTTCCTGAAAGGCAGAGCCCATCAGAGCAGGGACAAGGCCTGCCAGGAAGACTGTGAGGAGACTCACCCAGGCTTCAAAAACAAAGTAGGCTTTATTTGGACACAATGGAGGAAATACATCTTCCAACCCAAGTAGAGAGGTCTTGTTGCATCCCTGCTAGTGACCCTGCAGACGGGGGGATGGCCAGCTGGGAGGAAGTCTGCAGCAAAGTCAGAACAGGGAGCTCTGGCTGGCTGGCCCATGCTGAGTCTTCCTGGTTTATGGTGCAGATGAAGCAATTATCCAGATAATTGGATCAATGCTGATAACTTCAGCAATAAAACCTACTTGGGGAATGGAATGATCCTGCTTGGGTCTCTCCATTGATCCAATTAACTTCGTAATTGTCCTGGGCCTACTTCCACAGCCCCTTTAGGGTCTCAGCCCTTGGTTGGTTTGGTTTCCCAAGGAGCTGGGGAAATAGCCACCATTCTCTTTTCTCTGACACATCTGCTCTTCTCAGAGCTTGGATCCTGGGTCAGCCCTCCTGTGGCAAGGGAGGCTGAAGGACAAATACTGCGGAGACTCTGTGTGTTCATTGGTAAAACACTAGACAAAGAGCCAGGGGCCTGCATTCAAAGCCTGTATTTACTACAGGTAAACCCAAAAAATCACTTACCTGCTCTGATTCTGTTCACCAAACTAATGGAAAGTGTAACAGCAATCTTTTCTTGAAAGAGACCACAAAAAATAGGAGACCAAACACCAAATATTTATGAATCATCTATTATGTGCCAGGAATTGGCCTACACACTGAAGATGCAAAATTGGATCTGCCTTCACGAATTCACTGTTTAGTGAAGGCAAAGAATAAGCAGTGTGGTGTGACAGCTGGTAGGATACAGGGGTATTGGGGAGCTATCGCAGCTTGTGAAGGGTTGCCTTACCTAACCGGAGATGGGCTGAAGAGGAGTCAAGGAAGACTTCTCAAAAGAGGTGGCTCCCAAACAGAGTTTCAAACTATGGGTAGGCATCAGCCAGTGAAGGAAATGCAAAAGGCCACTTTTGCCTGAGTAAGCAGCATGAATAAAGGCCCAGACAGAGTGCATGGTCAGAGTAGGGCAAGGGGTCAGTGTGTTGGCGATGTTGGCCAGGTAGGGCATGGGGACCCTTGACTACCAGGAGTCTGGACTTCATCCTTAGGGACACAGGTAGACTGAATTGTTTCCAGCTGGTGAAAGACAGTTCAGACTTACACTGTGATGCGGTGCCTGGCTGCACCATGAAAGATGGATTGAAAGACCAGATTCGAGGCAGGGAGTCCAATTAGGGAGCTGCTAGAGTAAGCAAGGATGGATGTGCTTGGAAAACACCTAGGGACCAAAGGAAGGACCTGATTGCTACCTGGGAGAATTAACTAAATCAGCCAATACTTATTGACGGCCTACTATGTGCCAGGCACTGTCAGCAATGTATCAGTCAATCTTGCTGAGAACAAGGGCTCCCGGTATCTTTGAAGCTCTCTGAGGCCTGGGTACATACCCTTTTCTTCTGACAGGGGTCACATGTGGTCCAGGAGGACCAGCTGGACAGCTCACAGTCAATTGGCCTCGGGGTCACATCCACACTCCGCGTCTGTCTGCTCCTAGCGAAGCTCTTGTTGACAGCATTTGACTCAAAGGAAGGCAGCCTTTCACCTCTAAAATGTCATCATGAGAGAAGGGAGTCAAGAATCGGAAGGGAATTAAGTATACATCCAAACACCTCTCCGTTCATTTAATAAATACATATTTGCTTGCTAGTGAAAGGCTATTAGTTTACATTCCAGTATAGGTTAATTCATCTAACAAATATTTATTGAGCCACCAGTAAGTGCCTAAACATTATGGTCAAAAGAGTATTGAACTTGGACCAGACGATAGTCCATTAGCAGCTGGGTGATCTTGACTCCGTTTTTTAACCTGTATGAACTTCACTTTCTCATCTACATAATAGGGACAATTATATCTACCACATAAGGCTATTTCTAGGATTAAAAATTATAGTATATGGAAAAACACTTTATAGACTCTAAGTTCTACAACTACGCAGGGAATACAACCACAGCTAGATGGACAATCTTAAGCAACTCATTCCCCATCTCTGGGCTTCTATTTTATCCTCTGGAAAATGAGAGGTTTGTACTAGATTGTCTTTAAGGTAACTTTTTGTGTTAAGAGTCTATGAAACATTTTTCAAGAACAAAAGATACTCAGTTTATTGTGCTATAGGGGATACAGAGAAATGCAAGACACAGGCTCTGCCTGTGTCACAGTTTGTTTCAGAAAAAGAAAAAGAGAAACATGTCTCACATCCTAACTCTAAGAGGCTGTACCTGATAGGCAAGGTTTTTCAGCATGCAGACCCCAGCTGTGCTTTAGGATGTGTGCAGACTGGGTGGGATTCAGGAGAACCTGGTGGGAAAGAAGCAGGAAGGAGGCTGGCGAGCAGTGTCAGTGAGGGTTGTGAGCCTGAACCACCATAGTGGCCAAGGAGAGGACCACATAGAAGTCATTTCTCAGGCGGAATAGATAGAAAGTGATAGGTAATTGGGTTGGGTGCGGTGAATCAAGCCCATAATCCCAGCACTTTGGGAGGCCACGCGTTCAAGGACAGCCTGGGCAACTTGGCAAGACCTCATCTCTATAGTAAATCAAAAAATTAGACGTGGTAGTGCGCCTATAGTTCCAGCTACTTGGAGGGCTGAGGTGGAAGGATCACCGGAGCCCAGCAGTTGATGCTGGGGTGGCCATGAGCATGCCACTGCACTCCAGCCTGGGCAACAAAGTGACACTCCAACTTAAAAAAAAAAAGAAAGAAAGCGATGGGTAATTTGATGGCAGAGGGGAGTGTTAGAGAGAGGAAGAGCTTAGGTGAATGTCAGTTTCCAGTTTGAGTTTGTGGTGGGGCAGAGAATATGACAGAAAAGGAAAAGACTTGTTGGGGAAGATGTGAGTTTTGGCTGGGGCATGCTGAGTCCGGGGTGCCCCTGAAACACCTACATAGCCTCATTCCATGAATAGTTCCTATATGGGTTTGGAGCTCAGGAAGGGAGATTTGTGCTAATGATAGACATTTGATCATGAAAATCCATGGAAGAGAGTGAGATCGTTCTTGAAAGGAGAAGCAAACCAAGGATAAGCCCTTGGGCAACATCAGCAGACCAGGAGAGATTGGGGACCTGCCAGTCCAGGGTATGATTGTTCTTTAGAGGTGTAAGGGGTGTAGGGGTGAGGTCTGGGGCTGCGGAAGCAGCAGACATCTGCAAAGCAGTCAAGCTACCTGAGCTTTTGAAATACGTCTAGAAGATTAGGCAATGTTTTTTGTGCAGTTCTTGGCATACAGTGGACATGAGTGAATGAATGCTCGTGCTATGTATTTTTAAAATCTGCCTGGGCCTCCAATTTCCCAAATGTAATATGATGGGTATATTATAATTCTTATTTTTTCCTGCATCTGAAAGAGTATATCACACTGTAAGTTTTTTTTTTTTTTTTTTGGTAATCTGTGTTCCTTTCCAAAACAAAAAAGGAAAAGAGAGAGAAGGAACGAAGATTTACTGAGCACCCATGATGGATGTGTCAAGGTTGTGCTAGGTGTTTACACATTCAATCTCATTCCATCCTCATAGCAAGGCTAGAAGGCAGCTCTGGAGTATCACCACCTGGACGGAGCAGGGAAGTGACCCAGAGAGACAGTGGTATGTCCATTGTCATACAGCTGGTGTGCAGTGGCATTGGGATCTGAACAGAGGTCTGCTCAACTCTAGAGTATGTGCTTTGCCCATTGCCCCATGCTGCATGGAAGGGAATCGGACCATACCAACTCCACCAACTCCCTCTGGTCTCTTTGTAAGGGCCCCTTCATCCCTGTATCCAAGATTGAGTCATTAGGGAGAAGAACATCACATAGTTTTTACCATCTCAAATACACAGGATGCCACTCCAGACAAGGTCATTAACAATACATTCTCACTTGGCAAAAGTTCTAAAAAAGAGGATAATAGTAACTATGGTGAAATCCATGTCCATGACTGCCCCAGAGACCAGCAAAAATCAATTGCCTAGTAAAGCTGGATCTTTAACGAAAGGTCAAAGACTCTACTGAAAACCACAGGTGGATACTTTAAAATGGTTACTGGAGGCAGGATGCTGCACACCAGCGGGGGGCTTCAGAATGTGTTCTTATCTACTAATTTGCCAGGGTTTGACAAAACAATATTGTCTGTGATTTGGCTTCGCCTAAGTATGTATTTGACAGCTCTGCAGGGTACCCTCTTCCTATTTCAACTACAAAGCAGTTACACTGTGTTTTTAGCAACTATCAAACCAACTCCAGGGCCACAGTTGAGACTGAGTGGATAAGTAATGTGCACACTAACTATTAAGAGTCACAATTATTTTCCTCTCTGAGATTTGAAAGCTTGCTAATGGGCAAGATACTCACTTATAGAAGGAACTTGGTAAAAAGTAGTTATAACTACCAGATCTCTCATTTTTGTACCCAATTTTCATTATGGAGGTGGCAATATAATGAAGTAATCAGCAGAAATAAATAGTATGTTTGTAAATTACATTGGATGAGATGTGTGTGGTTTATTAGTACTACAAAATGCAAATCTGAAAGAATGGCTAGCATTAAATTGCAGCTATAATTGTTGAGAAAGACAGAAAGCCACATTAAGGCCAGTTTTCATCAGGGCCTCTGTGTATGGTTCCAACACCTGCCTTTCACCCTTATGCACTTCCACAGAAAGAAAACCAATGGACATTTTCACAGAAAGAAAACCAGTGGACATTTGGCCAACTGACTGGATTTCTGGCATTTAAAATCTTCTGTAGCTTTTTTTTTTTTTTTTTTTTTTTTTTTTTGAGTCAAAGTCTCACTCTGTTGCCCAGGCTGGAGGGTAGTGGCACACTCATGGCTTGACCTACAGGCAATCCTTCCGTCTCAGCCCTCCAAGTAGCTAGAAGTAAAGGTGAGTGCCACCACGCCTGGTTAATTTTTTAATTTATTGTAGAGAGGAGATCTTGCCAAGTTGTCCAGGCTGGTCTCAAACCCCTGGGCTTAGGTAATCCTTTCACCTTGGCCTCCCAAAGTGCTGGGATTACAGGTGTGAGCCACTGCACCTGGCTTCTCTGTATTTGTTAACAATGAAAAATTAGCACTTCTAAAGAAGTACAAAAAATAAAAATAAACAAACACTCATGTACTCACACCCAGATTGGCAATTGCTAACATTTTTACATACTTCCCTCAAGTCTTTTTTAAAAAAAGTTTTAAAAACTACACTTTTTAATTGTAATAAAGTACAGTTATAATTTTTTGCAATTTTTTACATTACAAAAAAAAGCCTTTGCACATTTGACACCTGCATTTCACAGCAACCTCAGTTTCATTTTCCTCCCCTGCTTCAGGGGAAGCTTTTGCCATGAATTTGGTGTGTATCTTTCCCATTTTAAAAAAATATGTTGACACATGTACACTATAGTATTGCTTGTGTGTGCTTTGCTCATACTATAATGCTATTCTGCAACTTGCTTTTGTTGATCAGCATTGCTTTTCTCCAGCCTGGGCAACATGGTAAGACCTTGTCTCTATAAAAAATTGAAAAAGTAACTGGGCATGGTGGCATGCCCCTGTAGTCCCAGGTACTCAGGAAGATGAGGCAGAAGGATCACCTGAGCCCAGGAGGTCGTGCTGCAGTGAGCCCTCATTGTGCCACTGCACTCTAGCCTAGATCACAGAGCAAGACCTCGATTCAAACAAACAAACAACAAAAACAAAATTCATTTCAGAGGCCTAGCTTTGTTGATTCATAAAGAGATCTAGTTTATTTCTTTCTTTTGTCTGCATGTTCCATCATAGGACATAAATTGCATTTAATTTATTCTGCTTCTTTTGGGGGGATATTCATATTTTCCCAATGATTTGCAATTGCAATTAATGCTACAATAAACACTCTTACACAAGTCCATGTACATGTGTTCCTTCTACTTAGGTGGCTGGCAAGGAGGGACTTTTCCTTGGGGTGCGGAGAATGCTGTAGCTAGCATTAGGACACATTTCACCGGGCCCAGATCTCCCACTCTCCTCCTAACAGGCGTCTCTGATCAAAATAAAGATGGATCCACCCAGTACAGCAGGATTAGGTCAGCAGTAAATTGCGAACCATCAGCTTATATAGATGGGGTGCGTCAATACATTTTGACTTTCGGTAGAAATGCCCTGACACAACAACTTTCTTGTCACACACAATTTGTTAGGCAGCTGCATCCCCTTCGCAAACAGCATCCTTTTTCTTTGCTAGAAGGGGCAGCTTCTGGGTGGCAGGTTTTCAATTTCTCTTCTCCCTGTCGTTTGCTGTGGTAGACATGAAATTTAAAGCAACATCCAGGGCAAGAAATGTGTGGCCAGAGATAGAGATACAGCGTAGAAGGTCAGCAAGTCAGGCACACAACTGAGGGGGAGAGGGGACAATGCACTAGCGAGAGACAGAGAGATGCAGAGTAAGACGGGGGCTCTGGAACCCGAACAAAAACCATTTGAGCCCATATTAGGTGAGCGGCCTTGACAGGCTCATGCTCTCTCAGATTCTCAGCTGTTTCCCTCTCTATGAAACTGTAAACAATAGCACCCCAAATAGCTGTAAGGATTAGAGCTAATGTTTCCAAGTGCCTTGCATGGGGTGGCAATCAATTATTGACAAGTCTTATAAAAAGGGGGATGATGATTTATCTGACTTGAATACAAGAGTAAATAAAAACAAAAACAAAACTAACAAACAAACCCAAACTCTCTTAGCTAATGCAAAGGTGGTCTCAGCATCTTCTATTCCAGAACTGAAGACCATGCTTCTACTTCATGCATGGCATTCAAATACCTGCCAGGCTTGGGACTGCCCATGGGAATCCTGGGTAAGAGCCAGACAGTACACCTGGATTCATGTGAGGGTTTAAGACTCACTACACATGAGTGAATCTCTTCTGCTCTCAGAGGATTGGTTTGTTCTTCCACATCATGAGAAGAGGTGACCCCCACCTCATGACATTGCTGAAAGGATTCAACAAAGATTAGATACTAACCCACTGGAACCTCCACTCCCTACATCACAGTGGACTTCCTAATACATAATCTAATCTTGGCGCTCCTTTGCTTCAAGTCCTTCCATGGCTCCCTTCGCTTGGAGGATACACTTCAAGGTCCTTACCTGGTGCTCCAGCCTCCCCTGACTCTTCCCATGACCTGACTCCCGTTCTTTCCTACCCTACCTCATCCTTGCAGCTCCCTGCTGTGGCCCGTGCTCAAGGCCTACTGAAGTGCCCTGAAGCTTCTGGAACATGCCAGCTCTCTTACACTTCCATGTCTTTGCCTACCACACTTTTCCACTCCCTAGCTATTCCACAGAATGAAGACAGGGGCTCCGGGACACCTAGTCATATCTAAAAATTTAGCTCAAGCACTGTCTCTTCAAGAAACCTTTGCAGACCCCATGCCCAGAAGAGTTAATTACTCCCTCCTTGGTAGTAATTACTTCCCAGCTGCACCATACCATGGTTTGCAATGGAATTCACAGCATGTGCTCACACATTGACATTCTTTGTGAGGCCATGAAGTCTTGTATCTTGTTTATCTCTGTATCCTCAGAGTCCAACAGAGGGCTTTACTCAGGGACACAGTGCTATAGGTAAGGTTGTTGCAATTCGCTTAAGACCTCTTTGCTCCAGACACATTTCCTTGGGTCCTGAGTACTTTTCTGTGTACACATAATATACACAGGGACGTCCTTTGCAGCTTAGTTATTACCTGGGCTAAGTCGAGATTTCTGACCATCCTAATAGCTATTACTTATGGAGTACCCAATGGGGAGTGAGTAAATACTCAGAGACTTTTGGTGCCTAATGGGATCTGAGTAGTTAGCAGAGCTGAGACCAGAGGATGTGTCCCATGGGTATTAGATACTCCTCACACTAAGTGAGAGGTTGTGCTCAGATAGCATTTTTGGACAAAGCAAAAGGAATGGCATTCATAGTCTGTCTTCCCACAGAAGCGCTCGCTAGGAGGTCTGGGACACGTGAGTGCTTCAATATCTCACCGTAGGGTTTTTCGTGCACCTGCAGGGACCCCAAATCACCCCGTCACTGGCTCTTCTTTCACTGGAGCCCAAATTTGAACACCCATAAGATATTTTCTCTAGTTCGTTTTGCACCCTATTAATGGAGACTAAAAATGATGAAATAATCAGCTAGCATTTCACTGCTGGGAACATCTGGAGAATGCGTGTATGTGTGTGAAGGAAAAAGAGAATTTGGGGGGAGAAAACCTGAGAATCCCGAGATTTGGGGTTGGTGAGCAGGTAGAGGGGGTCTCTCTCACTTATTAAAAACAGCTTAGGAATCAGCTTTTCCCCCCTGTGCACAACAAACTTTCTTTTGCATAATAAATCACACTGAGGTTTCATTTGGAATACAGAACGAATATCCTATTCTTCTCAGCATGACAAAATATATTTAAACATGTCAGTTTCTTACAGGAACTTTTGTTGAAATCAGCCCCCTGGTTCTACAATAATTTGAAGAGAATTGTTGATATTATTTTAATAGATGCATGCAAAGTTCTGCAAGAGATGTCCTCCATTCAGTAGACATGTGACAGAGAGATAATAGTATTATGTGGCTGCACCTTCCCTGTCATATTATTGATCAGGGAATCACCAATAACCAATCACTTACCTGGAACCAGGCAAACTGAGACAGCCCAGGACAGCACAGAAAAGAAATAGCTTCACTGGTGCCCTCCACACCCACATCCTGGAATTCTTCATTTTCTCTACATGACAGGAGAAGCCACCAAGGCTTCTATGTTCATGACAAGTTTGCCCAGGGAGTGTCATTATCAGCTTCTGTCCCCAAGTGCAAACAGCTCAGCAAAGTAAACAGAAAACCATCAGTGACTGGAAACTGCTTAGACTTTGCACAGATGGAAAACTTACCTGAAACTCTGGAAACCAATGAGAATGATGGAAGACTCTGCAGCAACATCGTGTTTATTTGTCTGTCACAGCCTTTGGGGTCAGCCACTCAGAGAAAAGGCTGTTAGCGAGGCAGTAAGGACTGTGGGTTTGAGGTCTAGACAGTCTGAGTTCAAGTACATTTTCTGCCTCTTGTTAGCTTTGATGTCATGGATGGGTTGCTTTACTTCTGTGCCTCAGTTTCCTCATCTACAAAATGGTGAGAATTAAATAAGCTGATAGAACGAAAGCACTTAGAATAGGCCCAGGTAGAGCATTCAGACATTTGAGCTATCATGACTAAGTAGAGTGCAGGCTTTGGAATCAGACAAGTCAAGGTTTAAATTCCAGATTTGCCTCCTTCTAGTAATGTGAGTTTGAGCAAATCAGGAATAGGCTGTGGGGCTCTAGAGACCCTTTACCTGAGCTCAAACTTCTTCCATATGATTTACCAGCTGTGTTACCAGGGCAAGTTGCTCACCTTTTCTGAGCCTAGGTTTCCTCATCTATAAATCAAGGATTATAACAGTACCAACTTCACAGCACTTGTGTGAAGATTAAATAAATCTAAATAGTCACACTCTGATCATTGTCTGGCTCTCTCTATAAGAGAGCTGATGCTTTATATTTTCTTTTTAAAGACGAAGTGTCGCTAAGTTGCCCAGGCTGGTCTCGAACCCCTGGGCCCAGGTAATCCTCTGGCCTTGGCCTCCTAAAGTGCCGGGATTACAGGCATGAGCCACCACACCTGGCGCGAGCTGATACTTTTACTGACTGCCTCTGACTCTGTCTCCTCATATGTGAAACTGAGAAGACAGTGCCTACCTATCAGTGTTAGGAGAGTCAGACCAAATACTAACTGTGAAAATGTTGCACGAATAGGCGTATTCAAAATAACTATGAGAATAGTTAACCAAAATGTGTTATTGCTGCTATTATTATATAACTTAAATGGAGTTTCACTATAGTTAGGGGGAGATAGCTTCCTTGACCTTGTTGGGAAGTGATGTGTAGCAGATGACTGGTATAGATAGATTTAACATTTGTCTCCAACATTTGCTAGCAACCCTGCAAAGTCACAAGTGGCAGCAGCACTTGTGAGGAGCTCAGTAAATGCCTTTGCCCTTCACCCATCACCTCTCCCACCTTCAAGGTCAGAGGAGACCCGCTGTCTTTCTTCTAGAGCCGAACATAGCTAAGGCAGTTGTCACTCAAGTCTGATGAGTCAACTTGTTTTATTTGAACTGGGAAGAGGACTCCCACCTCCTTCTTTTTCTTGTTCTGAATAGTTCACAGATTAACCTACAGTCCTTCCCGGTTAACCTGGATTGAAGGAAAATGTCACACCAAGTGCTCTTGAAGTAGCATAATCCAAGCAAACGTCCACCTTGCTCAAAATCACTAGAAGTGCTTCCTAGAATATGCGTGACCAGATGTGGGATGGACGTTTTCACATTTCCAGTTCCAGCCTGGACACAGAGTGTCAGCCCTGATTCCTGACCTGGAGACAGGGCCCACTCTACCTATGGCAAGGAGCACAGGCGTGAGAGAGAAGCACTTTGCAAACTCAACGGCAATATGCAAAAAAATGACGGAGGCTCTCAAACCTACCTTCCTGAGAACCACCCCTGACTCCCCAGATTCAACACATTAAAGTTTAAACTGCACCAACCTGGCATTTACAAAACCAATCTGTAACCCATAAAGTGTTGAGTCCTCATAGTGAATGACAGTCCTGTTGCTTGTTCTATGGCAGTTGTGGGTGGGCAGCCTTGCAGGGAGAGGCAGCAGGAAGCACATGATGGGGGCTGGTCGAAAGAGCAGAGCCTGGATTGGATTTCCTTAGACAAGTTCTACAATGTCTCTGAAGACTCCGTTTTCTCATCTGTAAAATGGGGATAGTAATTCATGAATACCCGTAAGATTGCTTTGGGGTTTGAATGTGTGAGCCATGATGCCTTCGATCTCTTTTCTGACACCATTAGAGTACTTCCCATCCTGCCATGACTGCAGAGCTGCCAGCCAGGTCGGGGTTGGAAGTATAATAAGAAAGCATAGCTAAGGGATGGATGGAAAACCACAGAGGACAATAGTTTGCTCGCATTAATTTTGTCCCAAACACAGAACACAAGCTCTGCTGTCAGACCATACAGAACACATTCAAGCTGTCATTAGTTCAAGCACAAGGCACCATTTCACCACGGTCCCAAAGGATGCAGTTGACCTGAACTTTGACACAATTGATTGTGGTAGTTAATCATTTGTAAACAAGCAGAAAATTGCGTTTCAAGAAAGATCCATGTCCCCTCTCCTGTGTGCCTACGTTTAAGAGAAACTAAATCCCTACGAGGTAAGACTTCCTTCTCTAGACCTCCTCAACCTGATGCACTCGAGGAAGAACCAGCAAATCTGCAGTTACAGGAAAGAATCGTGTGTTCTCTCACCTCTAGGTTTTTGTGCATCCCTTTTCCCCTTTTCCCGGAATATGTGCTACTTGGCTAAATACAACTCATTACAAGAAATCCTTCCCCATTGGCTCCCTCCGGGTCCCTTGGTGCCAAAGTCTAGTAGGACTCCAGCAATCCCAACCCCATAGCGCCCCCTGGTGGTGTCAGGTTCCGCTGCTCACCTGCATCGTTACAGGAGAAAGGCGACCTCAGGTTGCAGTGATGATAATACACACGTTTTCCTCTGACGGCTCTTAGCAATATAAGTTTGTCCATACATCACCTCGTTTGATCTTGATGAGAAGCCAACAAAGTATTGTCTTCCATGCCTCTGAGATGGGGTTCCACAGTTGGGTTAACAGCTCGTCCGTAGCAAATAGATGGCTAAATGCAAGTTTTTCTGGCCCCCAAACTCTACTTTTTCTGGTTCTGAAGCTTTATCCTGCCCTTAACTTGCCCTTAGAATATTCCAGCACTGAACACAGGTCTAGTACAATTATCATAGCTCACCACGCCTCTGGACTAGCTGCTCTTACTAAGAGCCTTAGCTCTCGTCTCTGACTGTGAGAGAACTTTTAAGAGTGATCATATGTCTCTAAACTTTTAATTCATGTGTAGAAATTACGTCTACAAATCCACTAACAGGTGTTGTTTTTACAACTTTTTTAAGACTGATTTTCCAGCCTCCAGCAATTCCACAACCAGTGCCATGTTTCAGGTTTTTGCTGCAGCAGTGCCTCACTCCTGGTATCTGTTTTTGTATGTGTTAGCTTTTTGCTGCATAACAAATAGCCCCAGAATGCAGTAACTTAAAACAATAATTATTTCTCAGCTCATAGTTCTTAGGGTCATGCAATAAGTCTAGGCTATGCTGGGTAGCTCTACTGGTCTTGCCTGGTTTCAGTCAGTTGGTAGGTCAGCAGGGGCTGATGAAGTGACTGGACTACACGTCTCCCAATAGACTAACTTGGGCTTGAGCTCATGGTGAGTTCCTGGTTCCTCAAAGCAGCAAGAAAGTACACGCTCCAGTACACAAGTGCTTTCCAAGCCTCTGCTTGCATGATGTTTCTTAGTGTCTCATTGGCCAAAGCCCAAAGTCAAGAGATAGAGTAATAACTTATATCTGGTGATATGCACAGCAGAGTGACAATGAAAAGGGGTATGCATACAAGATTGAAAGGGATTTGTGGCTATCGCACAACTTACTACAGACATGCATCACTTTCATGCTGAGGCAGTTCAGAGTGGGCGTGCCTTCTCCATTTCTCTCTTCTTCCATCCTGTTGATTTGGAAGCATGTGTTGAGATAACAGGGTCTTATGGTGAAGGGAATCTACACCCCTGAGTCACTGGATGAAGGAGAGCCCCTGCTGAATCACAGACAACTTTATGTGAGTGAGAATTCAATTGTTGTGCTCCATCAGCGAGATTTTGTGGTTTACGTATGACTGCATCAATAACTACCTTATCTTGACCAATATACTTTTATGCTACATATAAAATCTGATGTATGTGTACATTTTTTGGGGGGGGAAAGTCCATACCTTTCCACAGTGTCTCAAAAGGATCTGAGATTTAAAAGAGGTTCCAGTGTATTTGCTTACATCCTGGACAAATTCCTTAAGCCCTCTGAGCAATAGTTTTCTTAGTTTAAAATGCAGGCTTTGTTGGAATAATGCTTCTATAAACATTTATTGAGCACAATGTTAGTTGACCAGATATCAAGATGGTTATGCAACAGGCCTTCCCTATGAGAGCGGACAAGCTTAGTGAGAGGGGCAGGCACAGTACAATATCACAGCAGTACAGTGTGATAAGTACAGTGAGCGAGGTCTGTACAGTATAGTTTGGGCCTCAGCTGTGTGTGTGTGTGTGTGTGTGTGTGTGTGTGTGTGTGTGCGGTCATTGGAAAAGCTTTCTCAGGAGTGAGCTGACCCTTAAGAAGAGTTTGCAAACCAAAGGGAGGGCACGTGGCATTACAAGCAACTGGATCAGCAGAATCAAGACACAAAGGTGAGAACCCTCATAGGGTCCATGGGAACCATAGGCCATCAGTGCCACCGGGGCACAGAGTTCAGCAGAAGCAGTGGGAAGAAATGGACTGAGAGAGGCAGGCAGAAGCCATATCAGGTAGGGTCTGATGGGCAAGCTAGGGATATAGATTTTATCTAAGTAGAAGGGGAGCTATTGAGGGGTACTGGGAGGGGAATGAAGCAGGCTGCTGCTTTGAGATATTACTCTTGCTGCACTGTGAGGATGGATTAGAGGAAGACAAATGGGAGCAGGGAGACGCGTTAGAAGGCTGTTCTGACAGTCTACTGGGAGACGAAGAAGACCTGAATGCCGGCAGTGGTAACCGAGGAGAGAACAGAGATGGAGAGGGGGCACCAACATAATGTCTGTCTTAGGTTGCTGAGAGAAGTAAATAACACACTACGAGTGAGCAGTGAAGGGCGGTGTACCCTATGCAGCTCTGCACAAAGGTGGGATTATGATGACTGAGATTATGGTTCTCTGCTAAGGAAAGTCTGTGAAGTCTCCAGGCTGAGCCTGGCAGCTGTTCA